AAAGTTTTGAGACAACAACAAAAAAAGTAATGATGGAGTAATGGGACTAGGCCCAGAGCCTAATCAGCCCAAGCCCCGAACTTGGACCCATGAATCCAAGTCCATAACCTGGAGCGTGCCTGCCAGCCCGGCGGGGAGCCTGCCAGTCCGGCCGACCTCATAGCCCGGAAGAGTAACGGTCGAACAATTAATGCGCTATTAATTATGTATTTAATTCCGTATTAATGTTGTAATTAATTAGTCATTATTATCGGTAACAGTTACGATTTGTATACGCCTATAAATAGCGAGTTGTAATTCAGATTAGGGGAAGCAACTTTTATACGCTATTTCTGGCAACTAAACACTTTTAGCTTCTTTTCTTATTTGCATTATTTTCCTGATTTCCTGCTTGAGTGTCGTACGTAGCTTTCCTAAAAGCTTACGAGTGTCCTATTTTGGACCAACATTGGTGCTTTCATTGAGAGCCTCTATTGATCTCTCACATCACTTTAGTAGGAAAAAATTCAAGAAATTCATCCCAATCCAAGGTGCTACGGTCCCACTTCCTCCTGTTCTCTTCGCCAATCACAGTTGGATGCCGTGTGCCGACGTCGGTGTTGGTCTACCTCATCGCCATGTCTATTCATGAGATAGGCCTTCAAATGGGCGCCCACCTAATTCCTATGGAGCAAGAGTCTGCTCTGCGTTAAAGTGGATGGACCAAGATTACACTAAGACCAAATTTGATTCTCCTCAAGGATGATGGGCTGAATTTTCAGCAACGCATTCGGGCCCGTTTGGCTCTAAAGCTAAGTTTCCAAAAAACCTCTATATTTGATACAAAAAAAAATCATAAATTCAAACATTTGAAAAGATATTTTAGGTGGTTTAATTGATTTTACTCTTGTCAAGCGTGTGTAATTTTAACATTGAAAAATGGGCTTATGAAATCCGATCACTCACGTACATCGGGCGAGCACACACACTCGTACACTGGCTGAGCACACACACTCGCGCTACCGGGTCACGTCATATGGGTGTGGCGATTAATAAGCTCCAATATAAATGTTAATACCGCACACTCTTGACTTCATACGAGTTCTTGCGTGCTCTTACCCTTTCCAAGTGCATCACACTCCGACCTCGGGGGACGAGTCACCCGTTCAAAAGTTTTTACTTGCGGGTTCGAACTACTAACCTCGGGCGGCAAGTTAAACTCTTATTAGGGGCCTAGAGCCACGCTCTTCCGAGCAATTTTGTCACTTAATTGACATTCACATTTCTCGAAAAGGTTGATATACTTTAGTTCTTTGGAGTTGGATTATCCATTCGAGTGAGGAGTCCGACTCACTTACTCGCGGATTCAATCTTTCTTTCGGAGACTGGGTTGAGGCCTAACTTGGGAACTTGATGTCATTTTTTTTCAAATAGTGAGTCCGACTCACTTACACACCGAGCCGTGGTTCGACACCAGGCCGGATGCTCTATTCTACACTAGTTTCTTTTATGTGTAGGATTAACTTAATGAAGTGGGGGACTGAGGGTCATACCGTCTTCAAGGAAGCAAATGACAAACCCAACGAGTCTGAGTTCGACGAGAAGAACAGTTCTAGCCATCCTATTCGCAGATGGCGATCATTGCAATAAAGGCTGAGGATCTCACCTCTTCCTTCATCTTGAGGGCGTCAGATGTACTCTTTTTCCCTTCATTAGGATTTTTTCCCATTGGGTTTTTTCCTAATGAAGGTTTTTAATGAGGCATCTCCCCAACATGGATAAGGGCGGGGATTTTCTAGTCTCGGAGAAGAGCAACTGACTTGGACTACTCCCTCTTAGCCGAGTCTACTACTCGACTAAGGTAGTATATGTCATGATCCCTTAATTGTAAAAATTGAACATAAGTCACATGTTATGACTAAAGTTACTACTTATTATAGTCACTACACTTAGGAAAAAGACATGCTTTATACTACCTCCGTTCTTAAATAAATGCAACACTTTGACTTTTACACTATTCACATGTTCTACTTTGACATACGTTTTATTTATTAATGTAATAATATTATTTTATGAAAAAAATATTGTTAAACTTGTCTCATTGAAAATTTTCATAATCTAATTTTTTTAATTTTTTTACTAATACAAAATCATTTATATTAATGGTCAAAGTTGTGTCTCGGCAAACGTGAAATGTTGACCGTTGCATTTATTTAAGAACGGAGGAAGTGTATAATCTTTATTGTAATCATAAATATGTAATTATTAGTATTTAAACTACAAACCAAAAAATTAATCATTTGTATATTTCTGCCAAAGTAAAGAAGCATGCTTGATTAAGAGTTCCTAGCATCTTTACACTTTGTCAAACATATTAAAATAGTAATGAAATTTAAGATTGAATCCAAATCTTACCTGATAGTTTAGCTTTTAGTGCAAAATTGGTATTAGATTGAAGCCTATCCACATCCTTGCTCTTACAGTGGGAAGACATCAGAAGGATCAAACAATTTCCCAAACAAATGTAACATGATGGTGGTTCCCCAAAGAGAATTTCCCAAACAAATGTAACATGATTTTAATTTTAAAATCATTGTCAAACTCATTACATGATGCAAATGCTCATATCTTAACCTATCTTAATAAGGGCTGGTTTTCTCATTAAATGCTCATTGTTTACTTCTTTCCTTCATATTAGGCTTTAAACCATAGTACCATATGCTATTAGAGTGTTCCATTTGTTTGTCCTTCTAGATGATCAAATGCACCGTCAAGCTTCACACTAACGGTGTTTAAACTTCATTCACTCTTTTCTTCTATTTTTTGTAATATTTGTTAAGAATTTGTAAATGTTGCTTCGACTCATCGAATGTAATTGGTTTTAATTTTTCAACATTTATTCCTCAATTTAATGAAATAAATCGATTATAAATTAAGATCACGATTTCTATGCTCTTTCAAGAAGATAAAGCATCTCATATCAATTGCTCTGTATTTAGTATTTTAACATTTATCAAGTAGGTATAATGGTTGGAATTTCAAGTCCCCTTGATCTCCTTCTTGTCAATATATCTTGATCATTAACGATCAGGTAAGTTATATTATTCTCTCTTAAAAGATTTTAGCATTATTCCCTACTGTATGAAATCCCTTTATGAGTTTATGATTTTAATTTTTAGTAGTATATTTTAATAAACGTTTTGCCCTGCTTATTTTAGGTCTTGCAATGTTTTTGTAGGGGTGGGGCCCAATTTCATTAATCCTGATAAGTTTTGAATTATTACTTTTCAAAATTTTCAAATTTCTTAAAACAAAATTTATATGATTTTAAAAGATTTAGCATTATTCCCTACCGTATGAAATCCCTTTATGAGTTTATGATTGTAATTTTTAGTAATATATTTTGATAAACGTTTTGCCCTGCTTATTTTAGGTCTTGCAATATTTTCGTAGGGGTGGGGCCCAATTCCATTAATCCTGATAAGTTTTGAATTATTACTTTCCATTCAAATTTTTCAATTTTCTTAAAACGAAGTTTATATGACCATTATTGAATGTTATATTGAACTATTACATAACACGTATACCAATCCTTCCAATGACATTTTAAGTATTGAAAGTTAAATATAAACTTGTATATAATCATGTTTCTTGCTTCAATTTTTTATATTCGCACATCAATTGCTTTATCAATATTCATAATGTTTTACGATAACCGGTATCCAATTCAATTACATCTCATTTTTTATATTATAACACATTATATAACTCCAAAACTAAATACTACCTCCATTCTTAAATAAATGCAGCACTTTGACTTTTACACTATTCACATGTTCTACTTTGACTACGTTTTATTTATTAATGTAATAATATTATTTTATGAAAAAAATATTGTTAAACTTGTCTCATTGTAAGTTTTCATAATCTAATTTTTTTAATTTTTTTACTAATACAAAATCATTTATATTAATGGTCAAAGTTGTGTCTCGGCAAGTGTGAAATGTTGACCGTTCCATTTATTTAAGAACAGAGGAAGTATTTAATTTATACTTATATTGAAATGATTTTACACAATTCATTAAAATGGAGAGTTGGGCATACGACATTCGCGCAATGCGCGACCAATTTACTAGTAATATAAAAAATAATTCATACTCTTATATTATAGTACAACATCTAATTAATTTTTAACATTTAATGATATGTTTAATTATTGATTGAATTGTGCATTAAATCATATTGTAAATTATATTTCAAACATCACTTTAATTAATCATTATATGTATAATCACATTTAGTTCATACCCTGGTAAAGACATTATGATATGAAAGCATAATAACAATATGTCAATATGCATATAATTTTACGAACACAATCAAAATCTTTACAAGAAAAGTTTCATACATAACACTTTTGCTATTCTCAAATTATGAACAACTACAAGAATATCAATAACGTACTCTCATCGTTCCAACGAAATCCAACACAACGTGGTTGCAATGGGGATAAACTGGGATTGCAACACATGTTGCGGCTGCAATATTGTGGTTGCCTTATGTAGCACAACCGCATCAGGCCGTAACGAAAGTGCGGTTTCAATTCACGGGAAAAGCTACTACGTAACCCAACGAAACCGTAAGGTGGCCGTAAAGAGGCCACATTGGATCGTATCAAGACATCTACACTAAATATTTTTTATTTCGTTCGAACGTATAATTAAATTACACTGCATCAGCGCAATAGCTGTAACCGCAGCGACCGCAATCACAATGCTACCACAATAAAAAAATTGATATAGTCATATAGACTAAAAAGTAAATATATGATATATGATGATGGATAATTTAATATACAGTCATTTAAAATATAAAAAAATTATTGTTTGTAGTTAGACCATGATAAAAATGTGTTATATTAAACTTTGTATCGATTCAAAAATTGAGGCAACCCTACCGGGTTATTGCCCCGGGGTTTACCCCAGTTGCTTTAAAAGAATGCCAATTTTTGTTGTGAAAAACAAAAAAGGAAAGGTGTAAAAGGAAAGGCCACCAAGTTTTGAGGTAGAGGTTTAAAGCATCTCGATCGCCTCCCAACGTAGGATCTCTCCCTCTTCTCGAGCAATAGACAGCAGGAATATGCAGAAAAGATCTAAAAAGCGTGCCAGAGTCGAGTCGGAACTACTCGAGCAGCTCGATTCACTTCCATGGAACTCTTCGCTGCCTGAAAACGATGAAACCTTCTCTCTTCTATTAGATTCCAATGAACTCGGAGGAGGTACTTTTGTTTTCCTTGTATCTAAATTGCGTTGAGAAATATCTTTCTGAAAATTAATTGCTTTGCTGCTTACAGTAACTATTACAGAAACATTCGCTGTCGACAAAAGCTAAATAGTTATTTGCATAATTCCATTATTGTTTAGTCATTTTTTATTCTACATGTTATTAAGATTTTACTATTATTACTCCTAGTCATTGAAGCTTGCTAATTTTCAGTTTTCCTTTAAATATTATGTGCAAAAATTTGCAGAAACTGAGGTAAAGAGACTAAAACTTTTTTCTCTTGGTTTGAGCCTTTTCTCTCGATTTCTTATTGTCCAATACTTTATGAATTAGGCTTTCTGTCTCTGGAAGAGGTTGATGAAGCAAAATATGAATTGGAGATTCCAAAGTCGACTGGAGGAAAAGAGAAGCCAAAATCCAAGAAAAAGACACAAGCTAAAAAGCGGAAAATAGATCAAAGTTGTGATGATTCAAATGGTAAAGAGGGAGAAGATATACTCCTGGAGGAAAAGAATCAAAAGAAAAAGAAAAGAAGTAAGAAGACCAATGATAAACTGGCACATAAAGCAAAAGAAAATACAGAACAGATAGCTGGTCAGTGGTGCTGTTGCTAATTACTAGTTCTACTTCTTATGCGCTTCATTGATTGACGCCTTGGCAGTGTGAAATGGTGTATTTGCATCGAATATAAGTTGTTTATCTTTTTGCTTTTTAATATCGAGGCTAGATTAAGCTTTGCTCTGAAGTTAGTCTTTTCTTGTTATTTTTACAGGTTTACTTCATGACTACTAGACTTTCATGCTGAGTTGATAACCCCACCCGTTTAAATTTTGCGCTCTGCTTAAGCTCTGACCATATCTGCCTATCACATTGAATGCTTTCTTGATTCAATGTATAATCAATTAAGTAACAAATTATTTTATTGAGACCGGCTAAGAAGTTACACTGCCCAAAGCCTTATGATAGTGTGCTTCCTTTTCTATTTTGTGATCCCTATGTCCTGACTCCTAAAACACTGCAATAGGTTCAAATCCTGTTTTCTTACATCCTTCATTCTTACATTAAGTTTAGGTGACCTTTTCTTGAACATTTTTTCTGTATATTCAAACACAGCATGATAACTTTTCATCATCTAATAAATGCATGCAATGTTGGAATGTACACACAAAAAAACACAAAATATATATAGTACAAAAAAGGCCTCCAGAGACTCACCCTTTTTTAATGTTCTATCTTGGATTCCTTTTTTAGTTTTTTCTCTTATTTTTCTAGCTCGGGTTAGTTTGAGACTTTATCTCTCTTTTATCAAAGTTAAGAGGCTGTTTGTACACCACCTTTTGGATTATTAGACATTCAGAACTATGTCAACTAGCATGATATAAAAAAGTAGTGTAAATGTTAATAGTGCATCAGATTTTTTCCTGATTTGTTCTTGCAATGTAAGACTTCGGGTATGTACCAAATGGAAGAACCAACAGTTCAAAGCTGCCCCACCCCCACAAAGAGGACCCCATAAGTAAATACAAGGCCAGAAGTAAAACATAGTTATTTTAATTCAATTTCTATGTCTGCTGCTGACCCCCTCACCCCCCCATCGAGAAAGTATATACAGGCCCTGATAGGCTACACGAACCGATTGATAATGCTCCAGCTAAATATGATGTTCATTTATAGTATTAAGTTGTTCATCTGTGTTTTCTGTTTTAGGATCTAATGTAATTTGTTAATGCCTTGGGTATGTGTCTGTTTCAGATTCCAACAATAAAAGTGGTGTTGAAGAGGATTTAGTAGATGATGCTGATTTTTATGCATGGAATGAGCTGAGACTTCATCCGCTGCTTATGAAATCAATACACAAACTGAATTTCAAAGAACCAACACCAATACAAAAAGCTTGCATTCCCGCAGCTGCTCATCAAGGAAAGGTTGTCTCATGATGCCAATGGGGTTTATGGTGACAAACGATGCCTTGCAAATAATAATGCTACTTGGCCTTTTTCACAGGATGTAATAGGTGCTGCAGAGACTGGGTCAGGAAAAACTCTTGCATTTGGTCTACCAATTCTTCAACGCCTTCTTGAAGAGAGGGAGAAAGCCGACAGACTTATTTCGAAAGATGGAGAGGTAGATGAAAGAGTAGCACCTAGAGAGCTTCTTCGGGCTCTAATTGTGACTCCGACCAGAGAGCTTGCACTTCAGGTACATGTGATTATATCTGGCACACATGAGCTATTTTTCGCTTCATTAATGAGTATTACATTTTCTCCAGGTCACAGATCACATCAGGGCAGTGGCAAAGCACACCGATATAAAGGTTGTTGCTATTGTTGGTGGCATGGCAACTGAAAAGCAAGAGAGACTTCTGAAAAGAAGACCGGAAATTGTCGTTGGCACCCCTGGGAGACTTTGGGAACTTATGAAAAGTGGAGAAGTTCATCTTGTAGAGGTTAGTTATCCGTCGTTTTTCAATTAAAATGTTTATTGCGGATGTATTCATGCAACAACAACCTTGTCCAAAGGCAGAAAAGGATGCAGAGTTTTTTACACTGCCGATGACAAGTGATGTTAGTATGTTACTACTGATCATATCAGTAGTCAGTACCATTTCATACGATCTCTCTCTGAAGCTATATTGCATGGCAGCCAGGGCTGACCCTTATCATTATATCTTCCTAAATGTTTAAACTTAAAAGTGTACAATAACTTTACTTAACCCCATGTGCAAACACTTTAATGAGGAGCTATCTGTTCAGCTCAGTCTACTTCTTGCTAACACGTGGTACCAGTTGAAAATACTATTGCTTTCCATGCTATAGCCTATAGTGTCAACTTAGCATGCTTAGGTTAAACTCAACTTCAAGAAAAAAAAGCTGACCTTAAGATGTTAAATCAACACATCAAGAATGTCAGTAAGAATATAGGGAAGTAATGAAGGCAATAAACCAGAATATTTTTTGTTTTTTTCTTAAATTTTACTCAATATAATTTTATCTCTTTCTGCCTTAGTGAACATTTGACGCTTTTCAATTTTAGAAGTGCTTTTGTCATGGATATAGTCATATAGATATCAGATGGGGATTCTGTCCAGGCGATCATCTCATTGGGTAACTTCAGTTGGATTTGATTGTTTATGGGACATGGCGTTAGTGAAACTTGGTATTATGTATGTTTGGTCTGTCAGAACCTTCCATCTTTGATCTTTCCTTTAGTGTACTTGTATACTTCAACAGTTAATGCGGCCTTCGTTATCAATTTCTGCATTTTTTTGAAGAAAAGAATCTGAAAACCACAATGTAGTTTCTTATTGCAGTTTAAAAATTTTTCTTGGTTAGTATACGTATGGCTAATGTTTAGTTCATTAAACAATGAACATCATATATCTTTGAGTATGTAAAACAAAAAAATTAAGGGAGATTGCCCTAAATAGGACTAAATATGTTTGTCAATTCCAAAATAGGACTATCATGTTTTTATTCCCTAAATAGGACTAATTACTGCCATGTTTTGGCAGTACCAGACTTTAAACATGACATTATTTTACAAACTTGACAGTAATTACTCCTATTTAGGGAATGAAAACATGGCAGTCCTATTTTGGAATTATCAAACGTTTTTAGTCCTATTTCGTGAATTTTCCCAAAAATGAATCGTGGATGGCAGATCTGCAGAACCATTACTAAAAGTGGATCAGTAAACTGTTTACCCTACGTTGATCCTCTATACCTCATCCACTCCGGATATTTTTACTTGACTTTGTTCAACATTAAAAACTTTCAGTTACAAATGCAGGCTTCTTCTGTCTAAAATGTTCTCTCAATCACAACACACTTTTCTTTTATATAGAAACAAGAGATTCCACATACTGAACTAAGCCAATTTGAGATGGGTCTTAATTTCAAAGTTTAACATGTAAGTATGTAACAATTACTAACTCCGTCCCACTAACATTGGGACATGAAGAGGTGGCACGGTTATTAAGAAAAGTGAGTTTATGTGGTTGATATTGAATTGATAAAGTAAGAATAAAGTAGGAATGGTTTAGAGCCACACAAACTTTATCAAATTTGCCAATTTGGTATGAGACAATCTTAGTGGGATTTCCTGAAAAGGAAAAATTGGACAATGTTAGTGGGACGGAGGGATTAATATGTAGTATATATCCTTATTGTCTAATAGGACATGTATGCATTGTTGTTCTTTTTGCGTTCTTTCTACAATACACTAGTTTTCAAGTTCTCTACTAACATTGTTGCAGTACTATGGAAAATTTATGTGAAGACATTTTTTCCTTTCAGCTGCACTCATTATCATTCTTTGTACTGGATGAGGCCGATCGCATGATAGAAACTGGGCATTTCCAACAGTTGCAGTCCATAGTTGACATGCTTCCCATGCCTAGTGGATCAATTGACAGGAATTCTTTAGAAAAACAGGATTGTACAACAGTTCTAAGTGTCCAGAGAAAGAAAAGGCAAACTTTTGTCTTTTCTGCAACCATTGCCCTATCTGCTGATTTTAAGAAAAAGCTAAGGCACAGATCACAAAAGTCAAAGATTGATGATGAACTAAACTCAATCGAAACGCTTTCAGAGAGAGCAGGGATGCGAGCAGATGCTGCCATTTTTGACCTAACTAATGCATCAATAATGACAAATAATCTTATGGAGTCATTAATTGAGTAAGTGATATTGTCCGATGCTGCTTGGCATTTGCACTGGGTATTCACTAATAATTAAAAGAGAGGCATTTGCACTGGGTGAAAATGACTTCCTCAGCTAAGCACCTATTTTGTTTAGTATTTGACCATCTTTTCAAGTTGCCATCGACTTCACGTTTTTTGCTTAGTATTACTTGTATTCCATCAAGTTTATATGTGCATTGGTCAAATTAGCTTCTTGCATTCCTTTGCCTTCATTTGTAATCTTCATTTAAATATCATGCACTAGCATTCCATCATGTTTTTCACCTTTGTGTTTGTCGAACTAGGTACTTCCTTACATACTTTATTTTGACCACCTTGTAGGCTTGTACTTTAATATTTTTTTTAAAAAAATTGGTTGCCTCGACGAAACGACTTGGGAGATTTAGTACTAATTTTGTAAAATCTCAGATTATTTTTCTTAGAGTTGAAAACCTTTTACACCAACAACATCCAAGAATTGGTCCCAAAAGAATTTGGGGTTGGCTAACATGAATCGATATATGAAATCAGAGTCAAAAAAGATTTAAAAAAAGATAATAGATAAAGATAAGATAAAAAAAGGATGAGTTAAAAAGATAAAAAATTAAGAAGATAAGAAAGATGAAAATATTATTTATACCAAAAATAAAAAAGAAATCTAAGTGCTCTACATATTCCTTGGAACCATACATATTTTGGCACACATTTGCCCTCATCTTCGACTTTTTCCCCCACAGAATTGGCTGACCATGTAATATATAAACTGTGGGTGCAGGTGCAGGGAAGAAGATAAAGATGGATATTTATATTATCTATTGAGTGTTCACGGTAAAGGGCGCACCATTATTTTTTGTACATCTATCGCTGCATTGAGGCATCTTGCCTCAATATTGCGTGTCCTAGGCATCAATGTTTCAACACTTCATGCCCAGATGCAAATGCAAGCACGTCTTAAGGTTTGGTCTTTCAAGTAGAACTATTTGATAATTTTATGACTTTTTTTGCATTGCAATGATGTCCTATCAGTTAAGGGTATGATTTATCTAATTAATTAAACATATTATCCTGCAGTAACTCTGTGAAAGAGGGCGCCAACCTATCAATTCTTTAATTTGTTTCTTCCCACTTCAGCTTTCGACCTCCCTTTTTCTTTATTCATAATGTAAAGCTTAAACACATTTTTTTCCCTGGATTTATGCATGTTTGTCATTACCCCTTCATATTAAAACAGGCAGTTGACCGTTTGCGCTCAGACGAAAATGGCGTACTTATTGCTACAGATGTTGCAGCCAGAGGCCTTGACATTCCTGGTGTTCGAACTGTTGTTCATTACCAGCTTCCACATTCAGCTGGGGTAAGTTTGATGTTTGCTCATTATATCTGCACCCTTATAAATTTCTAAAATATTACAAACTGAGTTGTTGGGCTAGGTTTATGTTCATAGATGTGGAAGAACTGCCAGAGCTTTCTGTGACGGATGTAGTGTTGCACTAATCTCTCCAAATGATGCATCAAAGTTTGCTTCTCTATGCAAGTCGTTTGCAAGGGTAAGTCTTTCCTGAAAAGTTGTGTTCAATGTGCATTTCCTTCAGAAACATTTGTCTTTGTTGTTTCTTAGTAAAAACAGTATACCGGATGCCCGGATTACAGAGTAATATCTGAAATCTATGAGGCTTTTTATTTTTCATGCATGAAAAAAAGAACTATAATAAATAGAAATAAAATCTAACTGTTGCTGCCTTGTTTCGCTCCAGGAAAGTTTCCAGCGGTTTCCTGTAGTGATGTCATACATGCCAGAGGTTATGAAGCGATTATCCCTTGCACACCAAATAGACAAAATTCTTAGAAAGGACTCTCAGGTGAGTGATATACTGTGGAAGAAGTTCGATGCAGAGTTCTTTCAATCTACTATGTTTTAGAACCTTGTTGCTAGTCTATTATGCACGTTGGCTATTAATGTTTGTCTACTTTCTCATGTAATATACTTCGTACTATTTATGAGTTTAATTTCGTGATGCTTTTGAACGTAAAACAATAAAGCTAAAATTCACATTTAGAGTGGTTTCCAACCTATTTTTATACACATTCCCCCTAGAAACATGCATGTGCGAAATGCTCAGCTCTCTTATTCCTTCTATTACGAGCTTATTATATTCCAAGGATGAGAGGACCAGCATTTATTGTAATCATATTAGGCAATGTGAAGTGGAAGAGGGGATGGGAGGGAAATGGAAGAGTTCGAAAAGATGATATGATTGGTTTGATGGGGGAGTGAGGATGAATTGTTATTCTAGAAAAATATATAGAATGTTATGTGTGATATGTTTTCTGCTCTAATTTAAAACAGGGACCTCATAGGAATGTGATTAGAAGCAATTAATGTGTATTTAAGGCTTATAGTTTTTCTTAAAATATCCTTGCTAAGAGTGATAAATGTAGATTTTAGCGATTATCTGATTATCTTATCAAACTTTTAAATAATATTTAAACTTTTCTTGAAAGTTGAAATTATCAATCCCTTTTTTGAAACTTCAGAATAAAACACTTTATGTTCTACTTATCATGTGCTCATGGGTACACACTATATACATTAGGACATTCCTTAAAATTGTCCCATGATTTTCTTCTCATTTTCTTTTTTTAGACTTCCTTTTGGTTGTGATATCATGTATCGATTCATGTTAGCCGACCCCAATATCTTTTGGGACTAAGGCTTGGATGTTGTTGTTGTTGTTTCTTTTTTAGACTGCTCCATTAATTTCATTCTATTTCCCTTCTCGGAAATAATAGTGTGGCTCATATTATTTCTTCCTTAGTAAATAAACCTCACCCACATATTTTAATTTTTTTAATCAAGTGCGCATAGTGAAGATAGGAGAAATTTTTGCGGATGGAGGGAATAGTAACAAAATGATAATACTGTAGTCTGTAGCAATGTATTAATTACGGATGTGAAAAAGAGAAAAGAGATAACAACTCTTCTAAAATGCCCCAAATTGGGGTGTGAGATGAGGGCAATTTGGAGCACTTAATAACTCCTCCACGCCACCCACTCCCTCCACAAGTTTGTTTTGTTAATATTTTTTCCAAGAATGTATATCCCCATCTTAAATTTTAGAATGCTAATTGTTTTCATTGTTTAACTTTTTGCCTTCAGGATAAGGCCAATAAATCATGGCTTGAACGGCATGCTGATTCAGTCGGATTAGAATTGGATGATAATGATAGTGAGGAGGAAAGAGTGAAGAACTATAAGCGAAAAAGATCCACTTGTTCTCAATTGAAGAACTTGCAGCAGGTTTTCATTTACTCTAGTAATTTCATACTGCACTCACATAAAGAATTGCATTAGGTCTTCTTTTTGCTACACTAGACCAACAATAAAGAAAAAACAAGAATCTTACGGGCTTTTTGGTTGAAATGAAGTTAAAACAAAAGAATGATTTTAAATTCCTATGCAAACGATGGAAAAACAATTCCCAATTACCAAACAATGTAATTTAGTCTTTGTGGAAAGGCTCAATGATGTTGGGCATGCAAGTATTCATTTCATTCAGAATATTTATCTACATAATGCAGGAGTTGAAGTGTCTTCTTTCCATGCCATTACAACCGAAAACATTTTCAAATCGCTTTTTGGCAGGGGTAAGTGTATATATCTATCTATCTTCACAGTTTTTTCTTTGCAAAAACCTTCATATGTGATTAGTTGTGTTCGTATTTTAGTGAGTTGACACTATAATGAAGTTGAGTCTTTTGTATGCTAGAAGTCTATTAGTATTCTTACAGAATTTGGCACGATCCATAATGTTAATAGAATTAGATTCTCTCATTTGCACTGATATGGATGGATTTATGATTTTAAGGTGGACTAAATCAACATTAAATGGTTGCAATCTTAAATCACTGAGACTGGTTGCTTAATCTGATGAACAAGAGATGTGTTTGTAATTTGACTTTTTTTTTTTCCTGTCATGCACCATGTGTTTATAAAACTCCAATGCCATAATGGGTTTTATGCACCTTCATTCCATGTAATTTTCGGTCTACCGTGACTTCTTTTTAGGTATTTGGCATTTCAGTACTGCACATTCTGTACCAAACTACCAGTGACATTAGTTCCTTACCTCTAGATGAACATGTGTCTGTACCAATTTAGTGAATGGACCTTTCTTTCCAGTTTCCAAGCATTTTCTCCCTTAGTAATTGGAAGGGAGTTCTCTATGCTGATTTTGAGGTTTATTTCCATGCACTCTCCACCCTTAGCAATGGCAACACATTTCTCTATGCACTAGGATTTAGGTTGTTATAAATCAGTGGATTGTTATGTAATACAGTGTACTTGTTACTTTGACCAAAAGAGAAATATTTTGTTTCATTTTCTCTGTTTTTTTGCTAAAGCTGTTTTCAGAAATTTGGTTTGCACTACTCTTTACCATTTTCTAACCTTGTCCACATCTTCTGCAGTCTGGGGTCTCTCCTGTCTTGCAACACCAATTAGAGGAACTGGCTAAGCAAAAACTTGGTAAAACAAGTAATGGTATAGACAGCAAAAGGAGGAACTTGGTGGTTATTGGACAAGATCTTGTAGAACCACTCCAGGCACTTCGAAGTGCCGGACCAGAGGTAAAATATTTTGCCTTTTGTTTTGGTATGGTCATATGTGGCCAGCTTGTCCAAGAAAGATAAAACTTCTTTAACTCAAACCAAATGATAATTTTGGTTGTGAGGTGAATACTCCCTCTATCCCAAAATATTCTTTCCACTTTGCTTTTGAGGCTGTCCTGAAAGAGTTCTTCAAATAACCTTTCGTGGAAGAACTGTGTGGGTTATATTTTTTAATAACTTTTAACCACAATTTCACTACTTAAATGATGTTAAAAGTAACGGGAGAGAATTTTACGGTCAAAATAGGGAGGAGGTTTTATGCCCACCGACACAAAAAAAGAAGGCAGTATGCGTCATCCCCCATGTACGATGGATTAGCAGTTCTGTCTCTAAGGCCTTGTTTGGTTCAAAGGAGGGGAGGGAAGAGAAGGAGAAGGAAGGATTTTGATAAAAAATTGTGTTTGCTTGGAGGAAATAGGAGGAAAGGTTTAATGAAAATATTTTCACAATTTACTTTTATTTGATAGCTTACTTAAAAAAATAGATACATGTCTAACTATGGTGAATATTACTCCTATGGTCATGAGTCATAATTTTATTTTATTTGATTTTTTACTTTTTTAATTTTATAATTTTTCATTTTTCAGTTTGGAATTTTTAATTTTTTTTGTTTTTTAATTTTTAAAATTTTTAATTTATAATTTTTAAATTTTTAAATTTTTAAAATTTTTAATTTTTTAATTTTTAAAATTTTTAATCTTTAAATTTTTAAATTTTTAAAGTTTTTAATTTTTCAAATCTTTTTCTTTTTTACCTTTTTATATTATAACGTTTTGTTCATTCACGTAGGAGATGGATAGTTTGTGGTTATCAACATGTTTCCTCCCTAAATACTCCGATTTGGAAGGTTTAGAACGGGAGGAAGTGGAGGATTTTGAAAGCATTCCACTTTCCTCCCCTTCCCCCCTATTTCCTTCAAACAAACACACACAAATCCCCCACTTTCCTCCCCTCCCCTCCGAAACCCTCCAAGCAAACAGGGCCTAATTGTTTAGCCTGGTATAAAATACTCTGCAACTGTCAGGCTGTCAGCATTTGGGAGTTGCTTCTTGTATGTAAACTGCATTCCAGTTTACTGGTTTACACTTCCTCTGGTTTGGTTTGGTTAGTCTTAGACTAGAAATAACTACATTTACGTAATCAATGTCTTTCTGTATAATTATATATCTTTTCTCTGATAGGAACCAGATTTGGAAACGGAAAATAGCGTAGATTGATATGAAGCACTGAAACGGAAAATAGAATTGCGACTCTTCGAGAGGCCTCACTCTCCCAATGCCCAGGCCAAACCCAATTTTCTGCCTACCTCCCCCTTTTCTAATCCCACTATTTATACTTTTCTAAAGAGGCTTATCCTCAATATACCTAATTATTTGGCCGAGCCCACTTCCTTATTACAGCTTATTAAAATATTCAGTATTATTTATATTAATACTCAAGTCCGTATCATTCTCTATGTTAGATCATCTAAATGTAAAAATATGTTAAAATTATCATAATTGCTGTCTACTCCCCTTTTCATGCCTTCACATTCCATATATTAGTAAAGATATTTTTTGAAGCAAGTACCCGATTTTCCTCATTTTCGACTCAGGCACATCTGGATTTGAAGGAGATTGCAGAGAAGAGGAAAAATGTAGAGAACATAAGGAGAAAGAGAAAAGAAGCAAAAAAACGTAACTCTACTCATGCCTCAAATCTTTATCACAACCTCATGTTTGGCTCCTTTATCATATTGTGTTGTCTGATTATGTGACACTCCCTTACTATCAACATATCTTCACTCCAACAGGTCAGCATGAACAACGCCGTAAGGAGAGGAAAAAGTCTCAAGTTACAAAGGAGTAGAAGAAACTCTTGTCATGGTTTAAGTCGGACATAATTTTGGTATTGAAAATACTTTTTTCACTTTATGTTTTAAAAGAAAGGATTAGTATTAGCGTAATTGGGACACTACGCTGTAGATTTTATACCTCTCCACCTCCATTGAGAGAGGAAGGCTAAATTTTGTACTAGGTACTGTATGGAAGCTGTGCTGGCTTGCTTGCTTGAACAATGGAAGAAGTGGTGTCCACTTTTTTGGTTGCTGAGTTATTTCCACTCCAATAATAACATAGAAAAACGCTAGCTGAATTGTTTTCCACAAGACCACAAGAATGTCAAGATTTATTTTGATAACTATTATAAGAAAATATTTTCTAAATACATATGGCCATATGGGGTGGTTAAAATAAAATAAAAATGTTTAACGTGAAATTTGCGAAGTCTTCAACTTTACCGTCTTTACATCGTCACTTTTCACTTTTAGGTTCAAATGGCGCAAATTATATGGTGCAACCGGCGCACCATGAGGATGGTGCGCCCGGTTGCAAAAACGACGCAACATCTCCTTTTTTTTTTTTTTTTTTTTTTTGCTTTTGATGTTAAAAATGATAATAACTTTTTTATTTTTGATCCGATTTTTATAAAATTTATATCAACATTTTTTATTTTTCATGATCTTTCAAATGAGACCAATATTGTGTATGTAATTTTAAGAAATTATCAAACTATTATATTAATGAGTATTGGATTATAAGAAAAATCGAATCTGTTTGGGAGAAAATAGGTTTTTGAAATAGAAGATCGAATCTGTTTGGGAGTGAATCAGTGGCTTCAGTTACATTTGATAATACATTGAGTTATATCTTTTTATGAGCGAGTTACATCTTTTTATAAGCGAGTTACATCTTTTTATAAGCGAGTTACATCTTTTTATAAGCAAGTTACATCTTTTTATAAGCGAGTTACATATATATATACACACGAGTTGCATTTGACATGTCTGAACGTGACTTACATATATTTACACGTAAAGTTACATATTTATATACACGAGTTGCATGTGACCTGTCTGAATGTGAGTTACATATTTTTTACGTAAAGTTACATATTGTTACACGTAGAGATACATATTTATACACACGAGTTGCATTTGACTTGACTCAACGTGAGTTACATATTTTAACACTTAAAGTTACATATTTTACACACAAATGTTAATATATTAAAATTACATAGACAATATTGGTCTCATTTGAAAGATCATGAAAAATAAAAAATGTTGATATAAATTTTATAAAAATCGGATCAAAAATAAAAAAGTTATTACCATTTTTTAAAAACAAAAGGAAAATAAAAATATAAAGCCGTCCCGGTATACGGTGCTCACCGTATACCTTTTTAACGGAATGACCAGTGCCTTTTTAAAACTCAACAAATTCTACTTATTTCTACATATACATTTAGAGTGCAATTCCGATAAAACACACTTTCGAAGCAGGGCAATTAGGGTCTGCTGAATTTTAGTTATTTACAAAAAATAACTTCTTCAAGACTCTGTGCCAAATTGCCAATGCACAAGTAAGCTCAAATAATGCAATATGGCTGAATCCTACAGTTGAAATTCATTCATATTTCATACAATCATACCTAAAGACCCCTTTTTATAAAAATAAAAGGTGAAGATGAAATGTTCTTATTTTAGAATTTATTCTCTTTTTATAATTCATTTGATGGATCTTGTCACTATTTCCTTTGCGAAATACTAAGTATTGCTCCAGTGCTCCGTATAACTTACATATCATCCTTCGAACATTAGTACTGAGTCCTGAATACCTGATCCAATTCTGCAAACGTATCCATTCCAATTTCCAAGTACCAAATTGATAATATTTTCACACAGTTAAAATTAAAAAGGTTTTAAACACAACTTTGCAATTTCTTCACATGCCCAAACTGAGAAAACACTCAAACACGAACAATCAACTCAAATAGCCATATCTGGGGAATAGGCAAAAGAGATACACCAAACATAAAGTTTTACAAGAGAGGCATTGGAATAGAAATTTGTTGACGGAAACACTAGTCTCTTCAAAAACGAAGAGACTTATTGTTTGTCCACGTTAGCATCTTTATTCTCTATACTGCCGCCATCTTCAACTGGTGTGACTTTCTTTACCTGCTTTTCTTGAAGTGTTTTGGCATCCCTAAAAAAATCCAAATACACATTACATAGTAAGCCTATATGACCTCAACCATACATACAGTCAGCATCTTGGCATCGTTGACCACAATACACATTTTAAACATAATAGTTGAACAACCACTCGTTCATAAGGTTGGGCTCTTCTCATTTAGAGTTCATATTAAGACTTGAAGTTTCATTCTGAACTTTAAAGCGAACTTAGAAAATCTTAATCTTATATTTTACGTTGTACATTTGTGTAGTCCATTTGAATACATTAATTTTAACATCTATGTGCTCAGAACTTTTAACACGAGAAAACCTTTAAATTGGTTTGTGTTTTTAAATTTGGCGGATGTGAATTATTTATCAAGAGATAAAAAATCATAATTACGACAACATAATGCAAAGGAGTGTAGACATTTGAAGAGAGTTACATGCTAATGCTAGCGTCCTTAACCCCTTTATTGTCACCACCATCAGCTACTACCACCTTATTTACTTGCTTTTCTTGAACCGCTTTTGCATCCCTAAAATTGATCAAAACACGGATACTGATTAAAACCTATAGAGACTAGGGTCTTGAATACAAAGTTCTGTAATCCACCATAATACACATTTCAAATATACTCGTTGATAAGGGTGGACATGTTAAATCATCCCACACCAGCCAAGTATAAAATGACAAAACAACATATAAATGTTTTGGACTACTCATCCTATCAGGTAGAACTTTTTAGGACGTAATTAAGCTCCCACGATCAAATAGACACATAAGTATAAAAAACGATCACACAAACTATTTGATTGGTCTGCTTCAATTAGTCACCGTCTTGCGGGCATGTTAAGCCTCACACACCCCGCACCGGCGACATATAACAATACTAACCAATACTCCCTGCGTTCTTTTTTAGTTGCAACGGTCAACATTTCACATTTGCCAACACACGTCTTTGACCGTAATTATATCTTAATTCTATTAGCAAAAAAAAATATTAAAAATCAGATTTTGAATTTTTGTAATGAGATGAATTGAACAATATTTTTTTAAAAAAATAATTTTCATAAAATAATAGCGTAAAATGTAGTCAAAGTAGAACATGTGAATAGTGTAAAATTCAACATGTTGCGATTAAAACGGAACGGAGAATAGTATATAGAAGTCTTGGGCACTCCCCTCCTAAAGGTTGACCTTTAAAAATGAAATTTCAAATCTTACTACATGCATTTACATTGATATGTTACAACACTTATTTACTGTGGAAAATACTTTTTCTTGAGAGGGATAAGCGTGACTTGGTCCACTATGATGCCAAAATCTAGAGTGCATTTAGGTCAAACATGCGCATTAGAAAGCGAAAAAGAGTTAATAGAAGCAATAGTAAGTACATAACAATGACTTCTAGACTTCGAGACCAGTTTTTTTTTTCAAAATCTAACTAGTTTTCGAAGTCTTGAATGAATTCAAAACTTCCTCCCTCCAACCACTACACAGCTGCCACCGCTGGCACAACCACTACCACCACCAACCAACTTATGGAAAAAATCTAGAAAACTATAAAAGTCGCTAGAAACTGCCATTTGTTGCTGGCACCCTCCGCCGAAGGCTTTTCCTGAATCCTTTTGGAAATTTCACTATAAAAAAACACTAGTAAAAAGTTATGGTAAGTTGGTAACAAATCACCACAATTTGTTGTCAACAATCACAATGACATGTACAACACTGGAGGTGACAACAGCGGCAATTGCAACGATACCGGTCATTGGCAGTGTCATATGAAGGATGTGTTCAGTGTTCTATTAAAGTGAAATTTTATGTCTGGTCGAATCTGTTTAAGTCTGGTATAGTCTGATCTTTTTGAACCGATTGGTTTGGTCCGGTAACGTTTGTTTTATGTGTATTATGTGTATTTTACTATTGCCTAAGTATGGTATGATTGGGTCAATTCTGTTTAAATTTAATTTGGTCTAATGTGATTTGATCTGGTATGAGGCGGAAAACAGTCCAATTTTAAACATCCCAAATTGAGAGTGGCAAGCCGAGATTTACCTCTATCCTACTAACATTGGGACAAAAGGGAGTGACACGGTTATTAAGAAAAGTGAGTTCATGGGGTTGATATAATTTAGAGTCACACAAGCTTTACCCAATTTGATATGGGACAACCTTGGTGGATTTTCCGAAAAGGTAAAAACGGACAATATTAGCGGCACAGAGAGTCAGAGAGTAACACTTAAAGGAAACCGCCCTTTTATAAAGTCAGAAAAGATCTTAGAACACTCCCAAAGATCTTAAAAGTTATGTCATGTTTACAATAGTAAGGAGAAGAGAGGGAGTTTGAGTGTTATCACTTTCTTCCTTCATATGCAGACATGTTGTACCTAGTTTTTTTATCTAAAGGGTTCAGTCCTTCTGATATGGGGTTCATATTAGGACGTGTAGCTCCGTTGTGAAAGGTGTAAATGAGAGTGGAATAGCTTAAGGCAGTATATTCTACTTTTGAGTCTTAGTTGAATTAATAACTCACTGAACATAATAGCTCTAGTATCATAATAAGACTTGGAATCTCTTCCTATAAAATCAACACGAGCTAATAAGTAGTCTGATTACTTCTATGTGGTTTGTATCATCAATATGGAAGGCGAGGAATGATTTAACTCGATATTAAATATCAAAAACATAATAATTGATATGAAAACTAGTATAAAATTTGATGACAGAAATAGTACTCAAAAGATTTAAGGGAATTACTTGTTAATGCTAGTGTCCTTAATCCCTTTATTGACACCACCTTCGGCTGGTGTTGCTTTTTTTGCCTGCTTTTCTTGAAGTGCTTTTGCATCCCTGAAATTGACCACAATACACACGCTCTAAATATATTAGCTGAATAGCCACATTGATAAGGGTTGATGATGTTCAAATAAAACCATGCACGCCTTATAAGCTAGATTGAACTACATACACATATTACTGAAAAATATAACACGCTATATTGTTTACTATGGAAAATATATTTTCTTGAGATGGATAAGTGTGACTTGGGAATCACTACTGTGTGGTGGGTTCAAACATGGGAATCAGAAAACAAAGGGTAAACTAAATTGGAAAATGATAAAAGCATAACTCTGAATTCAGATTCAAATAGTTCTCGTAGAAACATTTTAAAAAACACAAGATTTTGTCTTGATGAAAATAGTAAGATGAGGGGTTTAAGTTTTACAACTTTCGTTCCTTCATAATTGGTCAAGTTGTGAAATTTGATGACAGAAATAGTAGTCTAAAATACTGAAGAGAGTTACTTGTTCAGGCTGGCATCCTTATTCCCTTTACTGTCACATGCCGTTTTCTTTGCCTGCTTTTCTTGAAGTGCTTTTGCATCCCTAATATTAACCAGAACATAAACCTTTGTTAAAGCCTGTAGGGTCTCAAACATAAATGAATACAATGTAACAGAACTTCGATTAAAATGTAGCAGAACCTGACCTAACTCTAACAATGCAACTAAAACCAGAACTTTAAGTCTGATCATTCGTCTTTCTTGATACTATGACTTACTATTATTACTTTTATGATTATTATGACTAATTAAGCGCTTTTGCCATATAAGATACTTCTGCATTATTTTATATAAAACTCCGTATAATTTTTTTGCTAGAAAACAAAGATCCACTTGAAGCTTTTAATGAAAGCCCCTTCCCTCAAAGTTCTTCTGTGCTTATAGGGCGGAATAAAAACACGTAATTGACAGGGAGGAGCAAAGAATAAATCAAAGCAACAAAAATACATACAGATAGGAGAATTAAGCAATTAAGTAATTAATTAATTAATTGATATACCTCTCACGGCGCTGTAACGGAGTCAGACCATCATCCTTAACATTCTTGCCCCCAGCTTTTCTAGCCTGAGCTCTTTCTCTATCTTTCTCCCTCTGATTTCCGCGTTCGATTCCGTCAAGGAACACAAACAAATTAAATTGAATTCCACTAAATCAAAAAACAAGCTTCCGAATTAATTAATCACTTAACGGTAAGAACATAAAAATTCGATACGAAACCAGAAAAAAGAAAATAGAATAAGGATGATAAATAGATTGCGATGGTGGAAAAGGATATGAGTCATGGTTGTTGAGCAATTTCAACCAGAGAACAGAACCCGTCCCCAGTTGGATGAATACACCGACATCAAACTATTTTTGTACTCCGTACTTTATACCTGTTTTTTTTTTGAAAGAAATCACATTAACTAAAATTAATAAGGTCATGGTCCAAAGATATAGCTAGGGTCGTAAACGAATCGAATCGAGTCAAATAACGAGATTTTGTATTTGTATTTGTTTAATTTTTTCGAATAGGAATTCGAATTCAAATATGAAACAAATATTAATTTCGATTTGTATTTGTTTAACGATACGAATAGTTAACGAATCATATATGAATATCGAATCGATTTGTGCATAGGTTAAGAATTAGTCAAATATCACTCTAAAATAATTTTTCTTATAATCCATATTTTTTATGTTGTAAATGCATGATATGACTTAATATGTGTTTTTAGAATTTAAATTTAATAGATCAATGCATTTTTAGATGGCGCACAATATACTAAAGTGAATTAATTTTATGATTAATAAATATAAATCTATTTCAAACTTTTTTGAGAAAAACACTAACACACACATATTAGAAATTATACTTATAAGTCAAACAACTCTAATTTTATTCTTCAAATCGAATACATAATTATTTGTATTGTATTTGAAAGACATTTGAACCAAAAAATTAATTTGTGTTCGTATTTATATTCTGATTTATTACAAATGAGCTTTGAATCTGGCCATTTGTATGCAAAAGTGTATACATGGGCTACACTTTGAGGGTATTGCTATCTTTTAAAAGTAATTATAGTTTTATTACTATTGTTATTAATATTGACATTACTAATCGAATATATTTGATTAATATTCGAATCGAATAAACTGATATTCTTATTTGTATTTGATAACAACTCGAATCAAATTTAATATTCTTATTTGTATTTGTATTTGAATTTTCGGAATTCGAATCATCATATACGAATTCGAGTCGCGAATCGAGTACAAATTATTTGATTCATTTACAACCCTGGATATAGCAATACAAGGAGGAGAAAATTGTCAAACATGGAAACCAGACATAGAACCGGCAGCTTTTGCCATACCGTGAACTGCACGGTTCGTTGATCGCCTCATATGAGACACATTGATACTAGTAAAACTAGCCAATAGCATTCTAATGTCGTCTACTAAAACTCCATAAGCTGAATCATCATCCTTATTGTGAATGGAGTTAATAAGCTGAAGGACATCTGATTCCATATCAATGCAGTCCCAACCCGCACCTTTAAGCCAACTAAGTGTCTCCCTCATAGATAGAGCTTCCGCCTCCCGTGGAGTACACTCTCCTGGGTGATTAATAGCGCCCCCAATAATAGGGATGTTTTTACTTGCATGTTTAAGATGTTTTTACTTGCATGTAGAGATTTAAACAGATTGGATGGATCACACCAAATCGAACTTAAATAGACAAGATCAGATCAGATAAGACTTAAACAAATCAGATCAAACCAAACTTAAATATACCAGAGCAGACCAACAAATTACAGTCCAAGTAAAAACATCCAAGATCTTGGAGTCCTTAGGCACATCGAATCGTTTGATAACTAGCCCTTATATCCCTACATTCGGGTGTAGGTACATCTAGTCCAACTGACGAAAACAGTCGATTAACTAATCCAGTCCAATTTTTCTTGTGGCATTTTGTAATTTAAGCGAAAAATCACGGCTTCCTCTAAATGAGCATTAATGTACTTTTAGGGTGTTTTTACTTGAATTGTTATGAGTCCTAGACCAGACCAGATCAGATCAGACCAGACCATATCAGACTAGATCAAACGTGGATAGTTATAAAATACACAGAGACCAGTCATTTATCAGACCTGGCCAGTTTAGACCAGATCAGACCAGTTCAGACCAGACCAGAAGATTCTAGTCCAAGTAAAAACATCCTTAACAAGCATCTAGCCTATTCTATTCAATATTAGGAGGCTAAAAATGAGTATCTCGATCTCTGCTTCATAACTTATAATTCATTTTTTTCTTATTTTTTCTTTTCTAAAAACTTATTAATTTATATCTATAATACACTCCTATGAATTTCAATATGCTAATTTAATGTAATATGATACTTTTGAAATATGCATTGATATTGTATTTTAAAATGAGCATAACATGAGTACCAAATGAGCATACATAAATTACAGAATGTTCATTGATATGAAAATCATAAGGTATGTTGGTTTAACATAACGATTTTCATTGAGCATCAAACGTCTTCTATTGAAATGAAAATCACGATTTCTGTTAAGTGAGCATTAGTGAACTTTTTATGAGCATCAAACATAATTTGTTGAGTATTATTGAACATCGTGAGTTTTGCTTCATAACTTCTAATTCACTTTCTTTTTCTTATTTTTTCTTTTCTAATAAATTTTTTAAATTATATCCATAATAGACTCATATGGATTCCAATATACGAATCTAATTTAATATTAAACTTTTGGAATATGCATTAAGACATTTCATTGAGCATCAAGACATTTTTATTGAGCATCAACTTTCCTCTATTGAATTTGAAACTCTAGAATTGAGCATAAAAATTTCAAGACCTATTCAACATAAAAAATCTTCATTGAATAGTCAGCTATAACAATACTTATCTTAAAATGTTATATCGATGTACATTTCATGTAAATATTATACTCATTTGGGTATAACATAAAACTCTTTTTTATTACTCATTTTATAATGTTATACCAATGCTCATTTTTTTATGTGATGCCCATATATGTATAACATAAAAATCATTTCTATAACTCATACATGTAGCATAGTCATTTCAAATAACTTAGAATAAATCTTTCTTAACAGTAAAGCTCAACTGATTTTAACACAATGCACATTGTAAAATTGGTGAGTGCTCATTTAAATGTAATGATAGAAAAGTATAACATTAATCGCTCAAAATAAAACCTACAAATCATTAATAATTGAATCCAATATATAAAAATCATATACAAAATCTAATAGCAAATTGTTTAAAGATAAAAGTTATAAAATACGGAGTAACAAACAAAATCAAGAATTCCTTAATTCAAGTAGCATAAAAGCTATTTAAATTAATGTTAAAAAGAACTATTATGCAAAATAAGTTATACATAGTCAATACTATATTCAACTGCAACAAAGTTTATTTAAATTTTGCTCAAGAAATGAACAAAAATTCACTTCGAAAATTTTATGACAGTTGGTAAGCATACTATTTAGAATATAATTTTAATGAAACTATTAGATCATTACTAATTAAATAGAGTGATAAAGATGTTTCAATCATATTATTATTACCTTCAATGTTTTCAGAATTCAAATTGAGTCAATTTTATGAAGAATTTTATAATTATTGAAATAAAGGAAAAAAGAATGGAAGGAGAAGTTTAGGGAGTCCAGAGAGAAGCCCGTTCGCGTGAAGCATCGAGAAAGCAACAAGGAGTTCAAAGGTTCCTATAATAATCAGGCTGAAATTTGTAAATAATTACAAAAATACTGGGTGTGTATGTACACCCGGGTGTACCTTCTAATTTGCCTTGTTTTTGACTTGTTATGTAATTTGCGTTTGATGACCGACCCTAGTTTTTGTCTTGTTAAGTACTAGTAATATTTTCATTGGATACATACCTGTAATTTCACACGCTGAATTGCATAATAATGAAATAAGTAAAGTGATATTCATTTGTATGACTGAATTGAAAGAAGTTACTCTAAAGTATCGTTTTTAGCTATTTTCAAATACTTTTTATTTTATTTTATTAATAAAATATATTTTAAATATAAACTTTTCACAATTCAGCGGATTCAACCACTTCAGCTAGCTAAAGCTTTATCAATTTCAGCAGAATCTGCCGATTCGACTAATTTTAATATTACCAAATGAGATAGTATCAAAATGAAAAAAAACTAAAGGACAAAGATATGATTGTGTCATTTGTAATTAGGGGAATTTCAAGATATGATTAAATGGAATTCAAATTGCAAGGGTAGGAGTATGACTTTTAAATTCTCTAAATAGACGTATATTTCCAATCCCATTCTTTAATTTCTTTATTTTTACTAAAACACAAAAGTAATGAATTAATGTTGTTTATAATAAAATGTAAAAAAAAAATAAAAAAAATAAAAAGTTACGATTAAAAAAACAATAAGACATAAAATCAATAAAATAACTGTTGTATATAACCATTATAAATAATCTTATTTATAATAAAAATGTAATAAAAATAGAAAAAAATAAAAAGTTTAAATAATAAAATAAAAAATGTAAAAAATAATAAAAATTATGCAGCCCTTTGTGGCCGCCTCATTCACCTCTCAGCACAACTAGCTCCGACCACCAGAAAGTTACAAACATGTATCCGTGATGCTTGCAGTTTCAGTAAAAAAATGATATTTTCAAATAGTAATAATGTCATCTCCGTGACAATTTCAGAGAAAAAGTGGCATTTTTATACATGATGACATTTTTTCCCGTAGATCAAAAGTGGCGGTGCTGGGAGGTGGTAGAGGTGGCATTTTCTGCATTTTTTACTATGTGTTTTTTTTTTATGTTTTTTATTGTTTTTATTTAAATATAATAATAGTTTTTAAAATTCTTCATCTTGTTTTGAAAAATGATTTCTTTTATTTTCTTACAATTTTATTATAATTTAAAACATTTTTATTATATTTATGTTTTTATTACAAATAAAAAATATGACTTTGTTATTAAGTAGTGGTAAGGGTATAATAGGAAGATATAGTATATTTTACTTCTATTTTGAGAAATAAAGTAATACGAAGTATAATAGTAAATATCATAGTCCTATTTTGAGAAGTTTCTATGGCTCTATTATAACATAAAATTAGTTCAAAACTTTGAGTTTTTTCGAATTAATGCCAATTAAATAAGTAATTACCGAAATGATGTTGGGTTAAAACTATTTATGAATCTACTGCTGAATTTAACCTGAGTTGGACAAAATCACCAAACCGTTTAACAATTAATCGTGAATTAATCGTTGGATAAATATTTTTTCAATCTCTTAGGGTCCGTTTAGTTCAAGGAATGTCAGATTACCACGAGAATGTTAGATTACCGGGTATGTTAGATAGACGGGAATGTGATTAATGTATAACCCATTTGTGTTTGGTTACGATTAAGGGAATGTGACATTAAGTTGTTTGGTTGAATGATATCTTATATTGCATATTTGGTGAATTACTTAAGCGCCCTTTAAATATTTGTCTCTTAACTCATTACAACCTATAATTAAAGTAATTAAAATTATAGAAAAATAAAACATCTTAGTAATAATTAAAATCAAAACTAATTGAATTAATTTTAAGCAAAGTATGTTTAATTGCACAAATGACTAAGATTAGTTAACATTAGTAAATAATTTTAAGCAAAATATAGACTTTTCTTGGTCAATGATGATGAACCCTAGACAATGATTTTAATTATTATATTTTTATATAATTTCTAAATTTTATACTTTTATGATAATATTTTGAATAAGGAACATTTTGATATAATTTTCATATTCAAATTAATTTCATATTAAAAAATATCATTAGCCAAAGTTGATTGTCATTGACCAAGAAAAATCAATTTGTCAAACCTTTTCGGGACGGAGGGAGTATGATATTATCGATTAATTGAAGCATGTTTTTTTGGAAGAAAGTTAATAAGCAACCAGGAATCTAACATAACCTAAGGCCTTAATGGGTTTAAGATGACGGGTAATGTGATTACATTTTTCACTTTTGGGAATGTAACATTCCCATAAAAAAATCAAACACGCGAACCAAACACATGTATCTCACATCCCCGGCATCAGATTCCGGCCTGTATAAGATATTACCTTGAACCAAACACTGCCTTAGGGATTTAGGAAAATACTCCCTCCGTCCCAATTTGATTTGCAAAATTTCTTATTTTAATTGTCCCAAAATGGTTTTTTCACTTTTTATTTTAGGTATGTAAATAAGAATAAAGTAACAAATTTACCTTTACTTTTATTTTTTTCTCATTAACTTAAAAGTGACATCTACTCTTAGAAAGATAGACAAAAGTGTAAAAAAAAAATCACTTATTATCGTTCCTTAATCGTTGTATAGTATTTGTGGAATGAAGATTTATACCGGAAGCGCCATAAAGTTGTGCAAAAACCCTTCACTCCCTTTACCCCGTTATTACCTCTGTCCAATACCTTTGTGGACGAGTACAGATCTTTCTTAGACTCCACAACGTCTGTGTTGCTCATTATTTGCGAAGTCGTGAAGAAATCTCCACTTTTTCTGGTATACGTTTGATGCAATCTCTTCATACTTAATAATACGTTCACAGTTTCACTCGTATCATACCTATCAGTGGTTAAGGCAAATAAAAAGTAACCCCATGAATTACATCTGCGCATCTGTTTTTCTGCAGATTAGTAGTGTTCTGACTATTATGTTATAATACTGATGTTTCTTTTGTTTCTTTAGCGTATAGTGTTTAGTAATATTCTAATATTCTTATATTTGGTCACGTAAATGGAGTACCTGAAATTGAAGGTCAGGTTTTGAAACAAAATGTGATCTTTGTATCTAACATTCCATTGTTTGACTCATGTTCATGGTTCTTAATAATTTTCTGTCGATGAATTTGTAATGCAACATTTAACTGCTGTATATTCTCCAGTCCATGAGTGAGTTAATCTTGGTGCATACCAACTTCGTATTGTTTCTTATTGAATAATTATGGTTTCTATATACTGGCCGTAGGGTAAAAATGGGTAAAAAGGTTAAGAAGAAGGCTAGAAATGTCCACAATGAAAAGAGGGTTCATGCTGCAGCTTGTACCTCTGTTTCTCAACAGAGTAGACACAATACTGAAGGTCAGGAAGAGGGAGTTGTAGCTGTAAAAGAGATAAAAATGTGCCCCCATGTTGATAAGAAACTTAATCTTGAAAAAGTTTCTGCAAAAATTGGCTCTTCAGAATCTCTTAGGTGTGAAGAATGCACGGGTGGGGATTTTGATAACCGGTCATCTAAGGGGAAGAACAAGCATGTGAAGAAGAAGGTGGGTGCGGATAAAGCTATATGGATTTGTCTAGAATGTGGTCATTTTTCATGTGGGGGTGTTGGTCTTCCTACGACACCTCAAAGCCATGCTGTTCGCCATTCAAAGAAATATCATCATTCATTGGCTGTCCAGTATGAAAACCCTCACCTTATTTGGTGCTTCCCATGCAATAAACTTATTCCTTTCAATAAAACAGATGACAATGGTGAACACAAAAAGGTTTTACTTGAGATTGTGAAACTAATCAAAGGAACACAACCTGAGGTTACCAATCTATATCCTGACAATGTGTATTCTTCAACTGGGAGTGGAACTATCACGAGTTGTGTCGTATCAAAACAATCTGGTTGTGGTTATTCTGTGAGAGGGTTTATTAATTTAGGGAATACATGTTTCTTTAATTCTGTAATGCAGAATCTTATGTCAATTAATAAGTTGCGGGACCATTTTCTTGGGGTGGATGCTTTTGTTGGTCCGCTTACTGCTTCTATGAAAAAACTCTTCATAGAGACAAATCCTGACAACGGTTTGAGGGGCATTGTAAATCCAAAATCTGTTTATAGTTCGATATGCTCCAAATCTCCTCAATTTCGAGGTTACCAGCAACAAGATAGTCATGAACTGCTTCGTTGTTTACTTGACGGTTTAAGTACTGAAGAACTCTCTGCAAGCAAAAAACGCAAAGCATTTCCGGAGGAAGATGATAAATCCCAAACTGTAGGTCCCACATTTGTTAGTGCCATATTTGGGGGGCAACTTTCTAGCACTGTTAGCTGTATAGAATGTGGCCACTCCTCAGTAGTCTATGAACCATTCTTGGATCTGTCATTGCCAGTTCCAACTAAGAGGCCCCCATATAAGAAACCTCCAATAGTGACTCAACCCAAAAAGTCAAAGCTTCCCCCAAAGAGAAGTTGGAGGGTTAATACAAGATCTAGCAAGTATATGATGTCTCAACCTGCTCAGAATGTTCCAGAACCTGCAGTGGTTCCTCTAAGAGATGCATCATTACATTACCTTGACGTGAGTACTTTGGCAGATGACATGGGTTTGTTTACGAAGGTTCCCTCTGCCACTAACCGGGAGTCTGAAAATAACACTATAATCGAAGCAGAAATTGTTACCGGCACAGATGAATTTACATGGTTGGATTTTCTTGAGCCAGAAATGTTGCCTACCTCTGAATGTTTAACTTTTCAGTGTGATGAAACTGAAACTAGTAAGTATTGTGGGAATGGAGATTCTGTTCAGAAGGATGTCTCTTTGCAGAAGAAGTTGGAATCTAATATGGAGATTGTTTCATCATATACAGACATAACATCTTCTTCAGACAATTTGACAAGCTTGAATAACCTAGAACAAGATGGCCATGGTATTGTTTCCCAATTCAATGACATATCACTTCCCGGCGATTGTGCAACCAAGGATGCATCTCAAGCTCACAATAGTACGGGATTTTGTGATCATATTTCCTTTTCAGAACAAAATATGGAAATAAACTCTTCCATAATGCATTTGGAAGGCGAAGCACCGGTGCAGGTGAAGGATTCAGAGATATTATTTCTTCCAGACACAGAAGAAACCTTATTAACATCATATGAGGCACCAAAAGGATTGCACCAAAAGGATTCAGAAATATTGTTGCTTCCCTACAAAGAAGAAACCTCCTCAATATCTTCATATGAGGTGCCAAAAGAAGAATGTGAAGTTTTTTCTGTAGCCGGTTGTCAACAAGATGTGGATCTTGATGGCATTGGAAGCTTATTTGATGAACCTGAGGAGACGGTTGCAAGTTGTTCTGTAAGGCCCTCGCCAAGCAGTGACTCTGATCCCGACGAGGTTGATAATAGTGATTCTACTACGGTGTCAGTGGAGAGTTGCTTAGCTTACTTCACGAAGCCTGAACATCTTTCCAAAACTGACCATGCCTGGAAGTGCGAAAACTGCTCAAAAGTTTTTCTAGAACAAAAGAAGAGAGAGATGAAAGCATTGCTGAAACGTAGAGGTGACTTTGTTGTAAATAAATATGGGGATATGCATTCTCAGAATACTCCTGAGCTTGCAGCTGCCAACAGAAATATGGAAGGAAATGCTTGCAATGGAAATATGCTCAATGTTTATCGGAAAGCTGATGAAGATAAAGTATCTTCCCAGCTGGAAGACATGTCTGCTGATCAATCAGAGTCTTCAGGGTTGAGTAAGTCATTTAGTCAGTTAAATCATCATCGGTATAAAGAAGATGGCATCTGCAGTTCGAGTGTGGATCACTGTTGCAGATCCCATGATGCTGAAAGTATGGAGGATAATCACCCTCTATTGCAAGAATCTGGGTCATCAGATTCAGATGGAAATGTGGATGAAGAGATGGATCCTGAAATTGTCAAAGTGGAAAGAGATGCAACTAAGAGGATCCTCATCGATAAGCCACCTCTGATTTTGACGATTCATTTGAAGAGATTCAACCAAGACGCTCGAGGGCGGCTGAGTAAATTGAATGGCCATGTTTATTTTAAAGATACACTTGATCTCGAACCATATACTGATCCTAGGTATGTAGTTATGTACGCATTATTATCACTATTGCTGTTATCATCATTGTTTCATGGAATATCTTGCTAGGCTTCTGGCTTCTGATCACACAAGTATGGAGCATAGTAGCAGCCAATAATTTAAAACTTTTTAACATTTTAATTTGAAACATAATCGAATTATCTAGGATTCATGGTAGAAAGTTTCTTAATGCTGTGGAGGAAAAGGAAAGGAAATACCAAAAGAAAAAATGACATGTATATTACTAATAGAGTTTCCCGGCCAAAAATATGACTAGTTATGTTTTTGGACAAAAATATGACTAGTCACTGTAGATGACAAGTCACAGTGAACTGGTCACTAAATATATCACTCTTTTTTCGGAAAATTTTAAAACACGTCATATTTTTATCTTTTGAATTTAATTTAGTAATATTCATGGGAAAAGGCCATACCAAAACCCAATACTAGATATCTTTGTGAAAAAACATCCCCTACCGGTTTGAGCTTTTTGTCCCTTTTATCTATAATTGTGGAAAACTGGCTTAAGACTCTAAGAGGTTAAAAAACAATCAAGATTATATTTTCTCTTATCCTTAAAGGGATTGATTATGGTCGTACAACACCTGTGTAATGGCATGTTGTTGGTTCATCATTATCAGCACCGTAATCCCAACAGGTTGGGGTTGGTGACTTGGCTGCGTGAAATTTGTGGAGTTAATTATTTTCAAAATTAGTTATAGCACTATAAGATCAGGGAAAAAAAATCTCTTTATCTTCTTGGAATTCTATCGAATGATTTAAAAGATAAAAATTTCGAAACAATAATCATAATAGGTTTTTATATGCTAAAAAAATCTCATGTTCATGTTAAGGGCCTTGGTACAGGATCTCGTCCAAGGCCGTTGATGATGAAAGGCGGAATCTGAAGCTATAATGTTGGAATAAAAAAAACCTAACTTCCTGCCCTGGGCAAGGAAGGTGATCCATGGCTCCACCAGCAAGTCAAGAGATTAATCATTCACAACTTTATACTTTGTTCAAACTGATATGCCTTATATAGGCAGATATAAGGTTTCTAAATAATATTAGGAAACAGATCTAAACTCTGACAGACTCATTAATAAGAGACTGTCTAAAATAAGAAGGCTAGATAAATGGAAATAACTAGAGTAAGGAAAGCATAATAAAAGGAAACAACTAGAATAACTAAAGGGAAATCATTAGGACAGCTTGTGGACAATTAACTAGGCCCCTTTTATGCGCCTCTGGTACACATGACCAAAGCGACGTGTATCATCAGTTCATTTCTTCATTTTAATATAAATATTGTTCAATCAACACGCAAATTCTTTGGTTAGGTGGTGATTTTGGAGGTAATAATGGTAATTAAATGCGTGTAATCCGTGTATGTGTATTTAATTAATTACATTACATTACAGTGCAGTGTATCAAACGTTACCTATATGTCACAGAAGTACAGCTTTTTTACCCTAAACTAATTTTAGCCACAAAACTTTTCATGAACTATATGTCTTGGAGACTTGGAGTACAATTATTCATAGTTTAGCTTTAGGTATTAGGGAGATTTTCTCACTCAATTATACTACCTCCGTCCCGCTATGATTGTCTCTTGTCCCATTGTTAGCGGGACGGAGGGAGTATTAAACAATAAGTTAAAATATTTATTTCCCAGTGTTTCAATACAGATAGAATAACCAATCCTTTTAGTGGACTGTTCTTTTTTTGCTGCATTCAGTGAAAGTATCAATTGGACTTGATTTTTTATATATATGAACCAAAATGTAGATGTATTTCTAGTATAAACAATCTATACACACTGACACACACCTCAATAGGTGTCCTTTGGTACAAAAAGATGCACTCACTTTCAGAAAATGCCCCTTGCGGCCCAAACTGAAAATTTTCAAGAGAAAAGACTTGCACTTTATAATTTAAAGAAGTAAAAAAAAAAGGTCTTCAGATTTCGGTTGATCACGGGCAAACAATAAATTAAAAAGAAAAACGGAATATATGTGCTAAAACTACTACTATTAGACTTCTACTAAGTAGTTAATAGTTATATATGATTATATATCTAAAATGCCAATGTTAATTTTAAAAAACCCTTGAAAATGTTGTCAAACTAGAAATTACTAAGCTTTAATGTCTTCTGATATTTGACTGTTGGGAACTATAGTACTAGCCTAATATTCTCAGATGTAGATATGTAATGTGTGTTAATCGGTTTATATTTCTCATGGTGTCTTTGTTATGGGTAGTCAAGCCAATCATAGCTTTTGATATGAACTGGCCATGATTTTATCTGAAGAAGTTTTCTTAATGCATTGGCAGGCACTCAGAGCAAGGGACCCACAAATATCGGTTGCTCGGTGTGGTGGAACATTCTGGTACTATGAGGGGAGGGCATTACATTGCCTACGTAAGAGGAATTAAGAATGGAGGAAACTCTGCATGGTATTATGTGAGTGATGCTCATGTGCGCGAGGTTTCTTTGGAAGAAGTTCTTCGCTCTGAGGCATATATTTTGTTTTATGAAGAAATGTGAAAGGAATCTCCTATACCAAATTTGATATCTTTGATTTTTTTTGTATTATTTTATATATATTTTTAAGGTTCGAAGGTGTAGTACACCATAAGTGAGATGGAGAGGGGAGTGGGAGAGAAATGTATACTGTTTGGCGTTCAATGTTTTGGTCCATTTTTGTTCTAGAAATTTTGCGGTGTATCAATGAGCCTAAGAATTAAATCTTTAGAAGACGGGTGGAAAAGAAGGAAAAGGGTATACCATATTGGAATAGTAGTAGAGGTGGCCTCGGGCCGGGCCGGGTCCTGGTCGGGCCTAAGCCCGGGCGGGCCACCGGTTCTGAATAGATGGGCCCGAGACCGGCCCGGGTACCCGCTGGGCTGAGCCTATTATCAATTTTTTTTCCTTTTCCTAATTAACCCCCCTCCCACCCCCAACTAGGGTTGGACTCGGGCCGGGTCAACCGGCCCGGAACCGGACCGGCCCGCTACTGTGCGGGCCCGGACCAGCCCGGTGAACTGGTTGGTTGGCCGGTTCGCCCCCCCCGGCCCGGTGGGATGTCGGTTCGGGCTCGGGCCCTTCAAAAGGTGAACCGGCCCAGCCGGTTCGGGCCCGGGTCGGGCCATTTTTTTTTTGAATTTTTTTTAAGTTTTTGGGTTGGGCTGGGTATTTTGGGCCATTTGAGGTGGTTAGGGTTGGTTTGGAGGTGAAGGGGAGGGTTGGGGGTTAACTAGGAAAAGCCAAAAAAAAAAAAAAAGAATCGAGGCCTGACCCGGACCCGGGGGTTACCTGGGCCGGTTCCGAGCCTCCCCTTCATGAACCGAGGCTCGGGCGGGCCCGAACCGGAACCGGTCCATCCCTGCCCCCAACCCCCCAAACCACCCCAAATGACCCAAAATAACCAGCCCAACCCGAAAAGTTAAAAAAAATTGAAAAAAAAACAATTTTGGCCCGGCCTGCTCGGACTGGTCACTGACCGGGCCACCGGTTCGGGCTGGGCCGGAACAGTACCGGTCCCGGTTTGGTTCCGGGTCGGGCCACTCGGCCTGAGTCCATATCTAAATAGTAGGGTCATTTTTCTCTTATTCACTTCATAACTTTTAATAGGATGCCCTTTTTTCTCTTTGTTCCAAAAAGGTGGAATCTCCCACCCCAGGAGCCCCCCCAACCCCGACCCGACAAGATGGTGGGGAGGTTAGTCACGGTGATTCAGTCAGCAGAATGGCAGTAGGCCCATACACCTGTGCGCACCAGAGGTCCAGCCTTATTTTAGGTTCTGTGATCTCCACTCGGTCGCTGCGGGGATTCGAACATTGGTCCATTGTTTCAAATCTCCCACCACTCGACCAACTGAGCTACCCGTGCGGGTATGCCCTTTTTTCTCTTGCCTATAAGGAAAGCGCCAAATGCTTGCCGGTGCATCTGAATTGACTAATTGATCAAGGAGGTAATGCACAAGAGAAGTGAAAATAATGCTTTATTGAAGCAATCGAACTTTGTAATGATCATTCACTTCATTCAGTAATCCCCTCACGGCCTCACCCCTCTCCGGCAACGTTTGAGTTCAACTATGGAAAACAATTTTGTTCACCTCTAAGAGGAGGGTGATGTTTACGCCAATCGTTTTAACTTTTAAATTTTTAATCATTTTTTAAATATATAAGATTTTATATTTTTTACGATCTCTCATATGATATCAATGTTGTATACGAAAAATAAAAATAAAAATCTAACTAAAAATAGACATTTAGAAAGAAAAAAAATTTCATTTTTTATATGATATTAGTATTGTTGGAAAGATCATAAAAAATTACTAAATTCGATATGCTTTTCTTATAAAAATTATAGCATAAACAAAAATTATAACAATTTAACGAAAAAAAATGATATGTGATGTTACATGGCAAAAAGGAAGAGAAGGGTGATGTTCACCCTCTTTAGACCATTTGCAATCATTTAAATTTGATCTATTCACCTCATTTCATGTACAACCTTGTTACAAATGGTAGAAGAAAGGATAACACACATCCCTAAGATCAACAGACGGGTAATCATTACGGTTACCTGGGAAGTTGCACATGTCACCGTAAACGTCACCTCGAATCTCGAGAACCGCCCAGATGGTTGGCACACCAAGAGCGTCAGATCATGAAAGTCTCTGTTGGAACACCCAACATAATTGGCGGGAAAGCAAGGATATTGGTACTTGGAGCAAGATTTAATATTCTATTTCGAACACCCTCTTTAGTAATGAAGTAGGGATGTGCACTATCCGGTTTAAACCGGAAAACCGGACCGAACCGGACTGGAAAAACCGGTACCGGATCGAACCGGAATGATATCCGGTCCGGTTTTCGGTTATGAAAATTTAGGAAACCGGTTTCCGGGTTGAACCGGATTTGACCGGTTTTGCAATTTTTTAAAAGTATATTTACTAATACTAATATAATAATAGTTATAAAATAAAAAATAATACTCCATACTAGTAACAATATATAATACTTCGTAGCAATCAATTTCATAATGATTATAATATATATTACCCTAATATTATATTTATCCATTCATTTTTATTCTCGTAATAATAAAACTAACTAATATATATTATTCTAGTATCAAGTTACTCCAATATTTGCTCATTAAAATTAATTAAAATGAGTGTAGAAAACAATAATAATAAGAATCAAATTTTTAGTAATAAGTACTGCATCTTTATCAAATGATTAGTAGCTTTTTTAGTAAAGAAAAAAATAATTTATTTAAAACCGATTTTTCCGGTCCCGTTCCGGTTTTGAACCGGATAAACCGGTTCGGTTCTGGATAAAAACCGGAATACATCCGCTCCGATTTTCGGTTTCCATATCATGGCAAATCCGGTTCCGATTCCGGTCTGATTCGGTCCAGTTTTGAACCAGTGCACATCCCTATAATGAAGTACTAAACTACAATGCATACAACGTAAATTGTAGCCATTTGTAGTCTTTGTATCTTTCTATGCAACTCCAACCTGCGTGATAAAATTCTAATAATGTGTTGGTAAGAATCGAAAGAGACAAAAGAGATTTTTGTATTTTTATTTTTACTTATACAATGATGGTGCAACCGACTCATCATTTCTCAGAAATCAATAGTTCAATATGAGATAATTAATGAAAAAGCATATGTGTCAATTAATAGTGCAGTTACAAATAATTTAAAAGTAGTGTTGTTTGTGAGTAAAAAGCAAATTGAAACAGACATTTTAAAAAGAAAGGAAAACTATTAAAGAAGGAAAGTGAACTTTTGGACATTCAAAATGCTAGTTGTGACTTTTTTATTAAAAGTGATTTCCTTTTATAGAAATGAGAACTTTTTTGGACATTCATAAAAGGAAAGTGAACTTCTCGGGACAGAGGTAGTATTATATTACTCCCTCCGTCCCGTTGGAATGTTTCCGGTTTGACCTACACACATATTAAGGAAATAAACTTACCAGGGGGTAAATTTTACTATTTTGACACTGTTTCGACACTGTTTGACACTGTTTCGACACTGTTTCGACACTGTTTGACCCTGTTTTGATGTAGGATAACTTTCCATTTAGGGAAATGAGAACTTTCCAACGAGACATCCAAAAAAGGAAAGCGGGAACATTCCAACAGGACGGAGGGAGTAATAGATTAAAGATAAATTAATATGAATAATACTCCCTCCGTTCCCATTTTATCTTGTGTTTCACATGGGCACACAATTTAAAAAAAGTAGGTATTGCGTGGTGGAGAGTTGTGCAGAGGAGAGAGAAATGTGTAAGAAATGTTGTGAACCACAAATTATTTACCAAAAGGGGAAAGTGGAAGTTTAATTGGAACGGATAAAAAAAGAAAGCTGGAAGATATAATAGGAACGGAGGGAGTAGTTAAAATAGACTTGTATAATAATGTAACGTCAGTCAGAAAAGTTATTTCAAGCTATTAATAAGCTCATGGTGTAAAAAACGGTCTCTTAAATTCAACTGCTTGCCATAATATAATTTTGATAAACGTTGTTAGGAGAAGATACTATTGATCTCGGTGAGAATGTATGATTTGGTACTGTGTATCCACGTAGCGGGTCGAATGTTTCCTAGTACTGTGTATAACTGGACACCTAGGATTCATTACGGATAAAATTATCTTTAGATGAACTATTTGTTTTCCTATATATAAATACTACTACCTTCGTCCCACTAACATTGGGACGGAAGAAGATGACACGGTTATTAAGAAAAGTGAGATTATGTGGTTGATATTAAATTGATAAAGTAAGAATGATTAAGAGCCACACAAACTTTACCAAATATGGTATGAGACAATCTTAGTGGGATTTTCTGAAAAGGTAAAATGAGACAATCTTAGCAGGACGGAGGGAGTAGTAAATTGGTCGCGCATTGCGCGAATGTCACATCCCCAACTCTCAATTTTAATAAATTGTGTAAAACGATTTCAACATAAGTATCTATTAAATGTTTATTTTAGAAGTTACTTCGTATATAATATACTCCGTCTGTCCCACTAACAATGAGACACGAGACACACAAATCAATAAAAAGTGGTTTATGCGGTTCATATTGAATTAATAAACTATAAAGTAAGAATGATTTAGAGCCATACAAGCTTCACAAAATTCTCATAAACTTCATATTTATCTTATTGGCATTGATAAAAATGTGTAGTTTTGAAAAAACAAAAGAGAAAAGCACAATTCTTGAAAAATATGAAGTTTGAGTCTTTTTTGGATAAACGTGAAAGAATAGGATAGATTTGTGAATTTGATGATGGTTTGGGATAAAATATGCTAATAATTCTTGATTTTTATATTAAAATAACGTTTCCTGCCATTGCCATTTCAGCATTTACAAAGATATATATGAAATGGCTGAAATAATAATTACTGGGTCAAAGCTAGTTGAGATAGGCTATATTTCAAATCATCAATGTCTTTGTTTAAATTCAATAGTACAGGGATCACATGGTCACAGGTGAAATGGTTTCTCTAACAGGAACTAATTTAAGCTATCGGAAGACAGCAAGAAATATGGGTCTGGCAACACATGTACTAGCCATATTACGTTATCAAGAGCTGCATTGTGTTTTTCACAAGCTCTTGCTCACATGGAGCAGGAACACGGAAATCTTTTGAAATCCATGGGCACACAGGTTATTTAATATATGTATATCACTATTTTTATCATGTTCCAATACAATTCCTGTTTTTAATACTAAACACATTATGTCCAAACACTGCCTTTTTGGGATGGAGAGTGCAAAGGGTTTGAAAGGGAGCATTGGCGCATCGTTTAAAGTTTTTCTATGTGATCGAGAGGTCATGAGTTCAATTTTTGGGAGTGACCTCATCAAAATGAAGAGGGAGGACTTGCCCCATAAGGCTTGATGGGACCCTTCCCCGGACCATTGCTTTGCAGGGGCACCAATGTGAACTGTGCTTCTCTTTGGAGTTTAAAAGATTTCCAATGTTGTAAAAGCTTATGATAAGTAGTTAGAGAGGCTGAAGTTAATCTCTTTGTAGCTATTGTTTTCCTTATAATATACCCTTTTGGGTACTTGGGTATAAAAGGAACAACACAAGCTAAATGAATTTGGGGTCACACTGCATTGTGTTTGACAACTTGGCAATGCTCATCATGAAAATTTTAATTCCATAAAACTTTGATGTTTTGTTTTCGTTTTGAGGTGTGGGTTCAACTTTTGCTATATTATTGGTAAAAACGTTTTTTGAACTGTTATCCCTTTGTTGTAAATAGTATTTGTTTTCTTTCCCTGTAAACTTTCTTTATTTATTGTTAATCCACTACATCTGGAAAAAGTTAAGACAAAATAACTTTGAATAATATCAACTATCACTTGTCAATCAAAACTAATACGTACTATAAAAATAATTATCTCATACCCCAACTATTCAAATATATAACAAAATAATACGGAGTCACTTTCCAACATCTAATCCCGTAATTCAAATCATACAAAACTGCTGTAAACCTCCAAACAAAGCTTGTTTGATTGTTGAAATGTTTAATATCATTTTGTGATAAATTCAGTGACCATAATTTATGTTAAAAATAGCTTCATGTCACTTCTTTATAAATGCTTAAATAGCTGCGTTATGAAATAGTTATAGCTAAAGTATCAAGTATGTATTGGTATTGGTTGATCGGCGATAGTTGATATTATTTAAAGTTATTTTCCCAAAACTAATAGTTGGTTGGTGCCTTCTTTATCAGGTTGCAGAGCCATTAAAAGCTATAGTAATGGGTGCTCCATCGGAAGATGCACGACATTTGGATCAGAAGTATGACTGGATGCACCAAGAGATAGACGCACAGGTACTCAAATGAACATTTTAAAATGTGCTATTTTCTGGTATTTGGATGTTATTTTGTCTCATTCAATTAGATTAGAGACTGTTTCCTTTTAAAGTAAATGTATTTAATTCACAAGTGTCAAACCCTCTCTACACTGTCGATGCACACAACTACACAAGGTGGTGAATTTTATAATTCTTCTCTCTGTACACTGGGTTCCCATCCTGCTCCAACTCTTAAGTACATATTGGAACTCGGGGAATTCTACAAAAGGCTAAAGGGTCAAATAGGTACATGAACTAACTTAAAGTGTTCAATTAGTCCCTTATATAGAAGGTTCTGCCCGACCGTCGCCAATTGAGGAGGTTCCCGGTAAATATTTTTGATGAAATTTTATGAGCATCTTCTTCATTAAGTCTAGTTTACCCATATAAAATTTCAGCTAAAACTTAAATCGGGAAGGCAGTTAAATGATTTTCCGAAATGTACTGCGCTGTATAACTGCGCAGTTATCTTCAAAAAATCATTTGACTGCCTTCCTGGTTGAATGTTTATCCGAAATTTGGTATGAGTAAACTAGACTTAATGAAGAAGATTCTCAAAAAATTTCATCAAACAATTCCACCGGGAACTTCCTCAATTGGTGACAGCCGGGAAGAACCTCCTATATAAGGGGCTAATTGAACACTTTAAGTTAGTTCATGTACCTATTTGACCTTTTAGCCTAAAGAAAATAAGAGGGAAAATGAGGTGAAACTTGGAAGGGAACAAAGTGTAGGAAAATAAGACAGGTCTAAGTTCAAATAGTTTTATTCATATTTCTGTTTAAACTTACGTAGTATTTATTTATTTCTATTATATTAAGATTAAAAAATCTAAATATACACTTCATATTACGGAGTAGTATACTATCGTATTTGTTTTACAAAACATTTAGCTTATTCCATTTTCGTTTGTGTTTTGCCAGGTAATACCAAACATAAGAAATAAATTGCCTTGTCATTTCCCCCTTTTGTATCAAAACATACCCTTATGTATTTTACCTGAGCATTTTTCTCTAGGTGATCCTTTTGCAAATTCATTGTTATCAAGATTTCTATTGGTAATGTTGTGTCTACTACTTTTACCATCTATTGATTGTTGGATGGAAAAATTTGGCTACATAATCTTTAATTTTAGCATGCATATAACTTAGATAGACTCTTGAAGTATCCAAACCACAAGCAAAATTGAGGGATATAATAGGCAATCATGACATGGAGATGAAGCTGGAAGCAGCACAAGCAAAACTGCAAGGTCTGAAATCTAACATGACTATACTGGGAAAGGAAGTTGCTTCTGCCCTGACCGCTATCGAAGCACAATAGCAGAGGCTTACACTCCACCAGCTAATTGACATGGTAGAAAACTGTGTTGTCTACATGAAGTTAGCAAGTAAAATATGCTTAACAAATAAAAGTAGTTGACATTAGTTTTGCTATTTCTGTTAGGTTGAATTAGAACGTGCTTACCATCTTCGAGTTCTCCAGATACTTGAACATTTAGAAGGCGAGGTATTGGCATATTGCTTCTGTCATTTTTCTATTGAACTTTGTAAGGTTAAAATGAAGCTGATCGCCTTTTTTGGCTATTCAGATGAAATTAGAGCGTGAAAGGATTGAAGAATCTCCTAGTGTAGATAATTTTCCTCCACCTCCTTCATATGAAGTAGTGAACAGTGTACCTACTTCTCCTATGCAAAATGGGCGCACTGACAAAATGGGTACCTACTTCTCATATGAAGCACGTAGTTTTTAACTGTTGTTATAGGCAAACTCCACAAGTGTAAAATGGTTGTCCCAACTCCCTTGGAACTCCAACGCACAAGCTCTCAGCATATCTGAAAGGCTGTACTGAATTTCAACTTTGTCCCCATAGATTCTTGGAACTTCGGCCAAAATTGTGATGTGAATCGCAGATCTCTATCGGATACAATGGTTATCGGAACCCCATGTAGCCTCACGATCTCATCCACATACAACTTGGCTAACCTCTCCAGTGCATAGGTGGTGTTGATAGGTAGGAAATGTGCACTCTTTGTGAGCCTATCAACCACAACCCATACGGCATCGTAGTTCTTAACCGTCCGTGGCAGCCCCACCACGAAATCCATAGTCACGTGTTCCCACTTCCATTCAGGAATGGAAAGTGGCTGTAATAACCCAGCTGGATGCTGATGTTCTGCCTTAACCTGCTGACAAGTAAGACACACACTGATGTACTCGGCTATTTCTCTCTTCATATCGGACCACCAGTAACTTTCCTTCAAATCACGATACATTTTTGTACCTCCCGGGTGCATGGCATATGCCGATGAATGAGCCTCCTCCAAGATGGACTTTCGGAGCTCATCATCCGCTGGTACACACACTCGGTCACGAAATAATAAGAGACCATCGTCTCTTTCCCTGAAATCCTCAACCGGTCCCGCTAGCATGTGTTCACGGACCTTCATAAGCTCTTCGTCCGTTTCTTGACCCTTCTTGATTTCATCAAGTAATGTAGGTCTCACCTCGAATCTTGCCAACAAGGCACCATTGTTAGCTACCTCCTATTGGGCTCTCAATGCTCTCAGGATAGTCAACAATGCCCCCGAGGAACTCTTTCGGCTCAAGGCATCCGCTACCACGTTGGCTTTACCGGGATGGTACTCAATGACTAGATGGTAGTCTTTTATCAACTTCATCCATCATCTCTGTCTCATGTTTAACTCTTTTTGAGTAAACACATACTTCATGCTTTTGTGGTCAGTGTATATGTGACACGTCTCCCCGTAGAGATAATGTCTCCATATCTTCAGTGCAAACACCACAGCTCCCAACTCTAAATCATGAGTAGGATAGTTTACCTCATGTTTCTTCAACTGCCGTGAAGCATAGGCAATCACCCTCCCATTCTGCATCAATACACATCCAAGCCCTTGGATGCTCGCATCACTATAGACATCGTACCCCATACCTTGTTTGGTTAATGCAAGTACCGGTGCCTCGGTCAATCTCTTCTTCAGTTCAAGGAATCCCTTCTCACATCGGTCATTCCATACAAACTTGGCCCCTTTTCGAGTAAGTTTTGTCAATGGCGATGCCAAAACTGAGAATTTCTCCACGAACTTCCTATAATACCCTGCCAATCCAAGGAAACTACGAATTTCCTTGACATTCTTTGGCCTCTCCCATTCGGTAATGGCTTCAATCTTCTTGTTGTCAACTGTTATTCCTGATCCCGAAACCACATGCCCGAGAAAGCCAATCTCCTTTAGCCAAAATTCACACTTGGAAAATTTAGCATAGAGTTGCTTCTCCCGTAGTGTCTCAAGAACAAGTATCAAGTGCTCCTCATGCTCTTCTTCACTCTTCGAGTAAATCAAGATGTCATCTATGAACACGATCACAAACCGGTCCAAGTATTTATGAAATACTCGGTTCATCAAGTCCATAAATGCCGCTGGGGCGTTTGTTAGCCCAAATGACATGACTAAGAACTCAAAGTGACCATACCTTGTGTGGAAAGCACTCTTCGGTATGTCATCCTCCTTTATCTTCAACTGATGGTACCCCGACCTCAAGTCGATCTTCGAAAACACTGTCGCTCCTCGAGTTGATCAAACAAGTCATCAATCCTAGGCAAGGGATACCTATTCTTGATTGTGACCTTGTTCAGTTGACGATAGTCAATGCACATTTGGAGTGTCCCATCCTTCTTTTTAACGAAAAGGACCGGTGCTCCCCACAGAGAGTAACTCGGTCTTATGAAACCGTTATCCAATAGCTCTTGCAGTTGAGTTTTCAACTCATTAAGTTCAGTGGGTGCCATTCTGTATGGCGGTATAGAGATTGGTTTGGTACCGGGTTCAACCTCGATCACGAACTCAATCTCCCTATCGGGTGGGAGTCCCGACAAGTCTTTTGGGAAGACGTCCGGGTACTTGCACACCACTCTCACATTATTGATGTCAAATTCTTCTTTGGTCTTGTCCAGCACGTATGCTAGATATGCGTGGCATCCCTTTCTCATCATATTCCTCGCTCTCACGGCGGATATGATACAACTGTTTGACTTGCCTCTATCTCCCTCAAAGCGTAAGGTAAGCCCCTCACCGCTTTCGAGTTCAAGAACCTTCGTGTAGCAATCGACCCTAACATGATGTTTCTCAAGCCAATCCATTCTGAGGATCGCATCAAACTCGATCATACTCAGCGGTACAAAATCACACGTCAAGGGTTAGCCCTCTACTTCCACCTCACACGATGGGTAGTGGCTATCTCTTTCGATATCATCCCCTAAAGGTGTAGATACCGATAAGGTTTGACTCATCGGTACTAGCGGTTCATTGAATCCCTTGGCGAACGCCTCACTCACGAATGATCATTGCGCCCCGGTGTCAATAAGGATTCTTGCGTCTCTCCAATTACCTTTAGTGTTCCTACATTCATAAGTAATGTAAGACCCACTATCTAGTTAATAACCATGTTTCTTAAGTCATAGGGTATGTTGGTCGCGGTTCAGATGGAGACCGTCCGTCGCCCTACCAAAATTTCCCGGTTTCTAGCCTTTAGAATCACTCTAAGACCAAACCGGGTGAAAGCCGACCGGGCTTTGCGAAAGCCAGCCGGTGTTCATGCCAACTCAGAAGTCGGACACCCGTAAGCCGACCGGTTTCTACGAAAGTCGGTCGGGTTTCGTTGCCGTAGTATAATTCCTAATTAATTCCCAAAAGCCGACCGGTTTCTACGAAACCCGGCCGGGTTTCATCAGCGCAGGATTTCCCAGGCCCAACGAACGCTGGCCGGTTTCCATGAAAGCCGGTCGGGTTTTGGCGCCGTAGAATTTTGGAATAATTATCCTCCATAGCCGGCCGGGCTTTGCTAAAAGCCGGCCGATTTTCTTCAGCAAGAAAATTTCCCAGGTTGTCTACCTTCGAAAGCCGGCTGGTCTTCGGTGGAAGCCGACCGACGTTCAGTGCCGTAGTATTTTCTCATTTAATTCGGACGAAAGCCGGGCGGTTTCCGTCAAAGCCGGGCGGCATTCGCCTAGGGCGAGGATTCTCCTCCCCTTTTTCTCTCCAAACCTGACCAAACTCGTCGGGGTTATAAATTTACAAGTTCAACACTCCTATGGCTTACAATAGATTAAAACGTGAGTTTAAGGAATTACCCGCAACGGAGTCCGGGTTAGCACGTGCATCCGCCTCCGTCATCGCATAGACCCTAGCTTGGGTCTTGCCTTGGTTCACGGATGGCGCGTTGCTTGTACTTGGCCCGCCATGCCCCGTGCTCCATGAGGTGCTCCTGTCCGGTTTCTACTTGCCGTAGTCCCGCTACTAGGTCCTGCACCCATGACTTGCCCGAGTTGTGGGCAGTTGCTCCTGAAGTGTCCCGCCTCCCTGCATTGGTAGCACCGTGGGGATCACGACACTTGCCCGTGTGGTTCCTTTTGCAGTTATTGCACCTTATAGCGCCCCGAGCCTTGCGACCTCGAGCGTTGCCCTCTTGGGCCTTGATTCCCTCGTGATGGTGGTGCGGGTGTTCTAAAAGACCCACCTCCCCCGTGGTCCCCCTTTTTGCTAGAACCTTGAGGGCCGGTGTTCTCCCATTTTCTCTTTTTCGCCTCCTCGGCGTTTTTCAGCTTTCTTTCCTCCCATTCCTTCTCTCCTTTCAGGTCTTGCTCCACCACTTGACTAAACGTCATGATAGGCAATTGTGTTGCCCGCTCACGCACGTCTAGGTCCAAGTCATCCCAAAAGTGATTCACCATCCGGTTCTCATCACAAGCATACTCCGGTATGAACTCCGCGAGCTCCCTGAACTTGTGCTCAAGTTGCCTCACGGTATACTTGCCTCCTTGGGTCAAGTTGGTGTATTCCCTCCTCTTCAAGTTCACCTCGAAGTCAGAGTAGTATTGGTTGAAGAATTCTTGCCGGAAATTCTCCCAAGTGACATTCTCACCATACTTCCCCTTGACTCCATCCCACCATGTGGACGCCATCCCTTCTAGCAACCTCGTTGCTACTCTCATCTTCATGTTTGGCGGTAGTTGCATGTCAAGAGCCGCCTCATTGAACCTTTTGATCCACTCGGCCGCAATAGAGATGTCCCCCGTTCCATCGAACGGGTTGCACCCCAAATCTCTCGCCTCTTTGAGGTACTTTGAGATTCTTATTATTGGACCTCGGCACCTCGATCATGTCGGGACTCCACATGTTCCCTAGAACCCACATGGCTTCCTCTTCTTGAAGCCCCTCCCAAAGCACGCCTTGCACGGCGCCTTTGGTGATCCTGTTGATATTGATGGAGTAGTTCATCCATCCTTTCTAGAGCGTCATCATCGTCGCTCTCCTCCTCCTCATCATCATCATATTCCCCATCATATGGGGTCTCAACCGGCTCAGTTCCTGGTTGATACGTTGAATCCTCCTCGGATTCATAAGACTAATTCACTGTATCAGCATGACCGTCACTCACGGTCTGATCTTGGCCCCCACGGCCTTGTCCCCTGGACACTCTAGAAGCCCCTCTACTGCCTTGCACGGACCCTCCCGGTGCTCGGCCAGTCGGGTTCCTTCTAGTTACTTTCCCGGTACATTCCATTTCTGAAAGAAATTGAGAATGAGTCATTAGACTCGTATCAAATGTCAATTGACGGATAGGCACTTAAAGACATCTTTTTGCTCAAATCACCGCCATACCAATTGTTAAGAGTATCATCTTAACAATTAGAGACATTGCAACTCAAGTATCAAAAGTTCCATAAGTACAAAACTTTTTATGCTCATGGTTTTAAAATTCATTTTTTTTCAAAAGAAATTTGAAACTTCATTATGATGTTTACAGATTAAGGCTCTGATACCAATTAAATTGTCACGCCCCGGACCTACCCGGACACGTCAACAACCTGCCGTACAGTACGAATAGTTAACCACAGTTCAACACATCCATACTATACAAGGCATCTGGAATATCATTCACACATAGTATATCCATAAACAAACATAATGTAAAAACATTCATTAAAGCAGCGGAAACATTAATACAAGTATTCAAGCCACACTTCGCATCCTTACGCATGCAAGCCCCCAAATAATTATTCAAAAATAATATCCATGAGCATTATTATATTTGTTTTGAAACAGAAACGGAGGAAGCACGAACCACGCCTTCTCTCCTAGAATCTTCCCGAAGCCACAGGCAATGGTAGCAAGCTCAACTCCAACCTGAAACTGTGAGGTGGCCTCCCCCGTGAAGGGGAGGTCAGTACTTGGAAGCATTTGACAAGTACAATGACAACTATACTAAGTATAATCAATGTTTCAATTTTTAAGACCCTCAATCTAGGGCGATATATATATATATATATATATATATATATATATATATATATATATATATATATATATATATGACATAACCCCCCGGTTACCCCTTTAAAATAACATACTTACTTTACATAAAGTCAAGTACTCGGCCCGTGAACCCATATTCATTTAGAATTCACCATTTTAATTCCCCGTGACTACGAGTCACGACCACCCCGTAGGGTTCCCTCGAGTCCCGATTGTATAGCAAGGGCTCGACTCAACTACATTTCTATACAACCCTTCAACTCAATTTAACACATTAAAATTGTATGGCAAGGGCTCGTCCCAACTACGTTTCCATACTAACCATAACTTCATGGCAAGGGCTCGGCCCAACTACGTCTCCACGAAGATCACAAATACATGGCAAGGGCTCGGCCCAACTACGTTTCCATGCTAATCACGTTACATGGAAAGGGCTCGTCCCAACTACATTTCCATGCAATCCTAGAGTCCGACTCTAATTCATTTTCATAGTCCAATTCTCAAGCAAATCCTATGCCTAGAATCCATCCACTTGGGTAGCCTTTAGGCTTACCCCTAACACGCCTTAGTGTTCATACAATTCAACCTTAAAGTATCTCTTAAGACTACTTAAGGCATATCTATTCGCAATCCTATCCCTTAGGATTAATTCCATTATATTATTCTCCCGACTAGTATTTTAATACTAGTTGGTTAATCTTAGAATACACCAAGTTCTTAATTCACAATTGATATTTCATTTCAATTGATTTTCCAATCCAAATATATTTTGATCCCAATATCAAAAATATCACTTTTATCCATTCATTAATTTAATACATGAAGTAAAAGTATATTTTATCACAATATTTTCATAGTTAATTCCATTACCATGCCATTCCTTTCATATCACATAATCATACACAATTCATTCTAAAATTGTATATCATGCTTCACTTACTCATATCAATAGTATTTTCATTTAGGCATTATTACTCATTAATAATCCATGAAAATCACTTTTAATACCTTAGGTAATCTTATGAAATTAACTCACTAATTATAAGCAATATAGTCAGCCATCCTCACCTTATGATGTGCTCAACTAGATGCCTTTGCGAAGCCCTTCGATCAATCCCCGTTCTAGGCCGATTGAATCACTAAAACTGGACTGCTCGGCAAAAGCCGGGCGGCTTTCACAAAATCCGGGCGACTTTCACAAAAGCCGGGCGACTTTCACAAAAGCCGGGCGGCTTTCGTAGTCTGCAACTACGAACAGCTCCTTTAGAGTTGTTGTTTCCGGCGATTTTGACTTCTATCGATTCACCAACTCTTCTAAGTTAATTGCCACTACTTTATAACAATATTCTACACTTTTAAACGTGTAGAACTCATGGTTTAATCCACCATATGATTTCTTAAAAATCATCCAAGAATAAACTAGTTACAAGAATATTCATTGAGTTCTTACCTCAAACACTATACTTTTCTTCTTGGATTTCCTCTCCTCTTGCTTCCTTCAAGCTTGAGCTTTTTGAGAGTTATCCCTTAGAGCTCTCTCTATGAATGGTCCGTATGATTGCAAAGGGGGTGGGGGTTTCTCTTCACTCCACACAAAACAATTGTGTAGGAAGACACATGGGTATGGGTTTGTTGTCTCAATGAGACCTCCCACCTAATGCACGCCCCTAGCTGTTTTCTTTGTCCCCTTCCTCATTTATTTGAGGCTAAGGGGTTTGTAGAATATCCCAAGTGGGTGTAGAAAGTCCCTCCCAATTATTCCTGCTATTTCTGGCAGGTTGGGTCAAAATAGCACTTGGGTTGCCCAAATATTTTCCTCAACCTCGGTTGGCATTTTATTGGGCTTCTATAATTATTATGATGACCCCACTAAATATTTAGTAGTACATTCTCAATATTATGGACCCGATAAATAATTTAATTAATCATTCATTAATTAAATATATCATTCTTTTACACGAAATCATTCGCTAGAAAAATTCAAATACATCCTGAATTTCAAATTCAAGTACATCCGGGTGCGGTGTCACACCTAGGGTGGTGTGTGAGAGCTATTGTCTAGAGTTGGGGACCTGAGCCGGAGATGGAAACGATCCTAACACAATTAAAAACATCCTGAGCCCCTCTTACCATAAACATCATTTTATATAATGAAAAAATCTAATCCTTATCATTTAGTTTTGGATTTAATATTTAATTTTGTAAGTTGCTTATTTATAATCATAGAAATATTCAAATTATAAAGTAAGAAGAATTACATGGATGACACATTTTAGATGTTAATCATTGGTTATTCTCACATACAATAATGATCTTTCTCAATCCCACTCCAAGCTCTAGCACACGATTGCGCATGTCTATGATGCCGCCTAATAAAATTCTTTAATGCAACTGCAATCATATGTGAATCTACACACACACATACACACACATCATTTGTTTAATTTGCATTTTAGTGGTCACATACATACATACATACATACATACATACATACATACATACATACATACATACATACATACATACATACATACATACATACATACATACATACATACATATATATATATATATATATATATATATATATATATATATATATATATATATATATTCGTGCAACGTACACTGTTGAGCGTCTAAATCAATATTTATAGAAGTGCAAATAAATGTTCAATTAGAGACATTTGTTAACATGTTTCTTACATGTTTTTATAGATTTTTTAAAATAATTTGTCTGCCTTAGTTTCACAAACACATCAATTGTGTGACAACCTGTCTCATCTCAATGTGTATGAAAAGTGAAAATTATTGTTTACACTTGTCAATTTCATTGGTTGATTAGAGATAAAATATTAAGAAATCTTATATGACTCCATGATGAAATATTTAGAGTTGACTTGTATATATAAAACCACTTTTTTTTATAAAAGAAATCAAACAAATCAACGGATCAACCCAATGTGAAAGTAGATAGACATAATGAGGTCACATAAGTTATATGAATTCATATTAGATAGTTATATCGAAATCTAAAAAACACTCGGATAAGATTGGATTATTATCATTTCAATATTGTTAATCATTAATTTATCTTAGCTAATTACCTTTTGTTTAGTTAGACATATCTTTGGTTGTCTTACAATGTAGATTTGATCTCCTCCACTTTCATTATACATGTCTTGATTGCGATGCCATGTCCATAGACTGTGTGTCTCATTCTTTACCTGCAACACTCACTAGACGTCAATAATAATCCATGTGCTTCTATTACAAATAAAAAATAATATCTATATTTGCCACAATTTTGATAATTTGAAATAAAAAATAATATCATTTGATTGAAATATGACATAATAATTGAAAAAAAATCTAGAACATAAAAAACTTAAAGGGAAACATACTGGAAAAAAGTTCAAAAGATATATAGGGAGAATAAATAAATAAAATGTGAGAAAAATATATTTGTATTTCCACATTGCTCATATATATTTCATAATAATTCCAATATTTATTTCAAACAGATACTCGATTTTTGCACAACAGAGCTAAGAAAATCCATGAGAAGTAATTAGCTATATCCTATGTGCTTATTTTCATTTAGACGATAAACCCGTGGAGATTGAGGTACCAGAAGCAGTACTTCTAGACTATGTATTTGAGGTTCGTTTTTATTTAATAAAAAACATATATATTTATTTGAGGGTATAACATGTATTTAATAACCTCGAAGCTCTTACATGTTAAGTGATTACTCTGGCTCTTTTTTGGATGCATCATTCTATGTCTAACATGAAAGTGAGGGGACCGATGGACTTATGATTAGTGTTGGTTAGAGGGAGGTTAGAGTCGGATGGTTATTATCTAGTACAAGAAAACCAGTTGACATTTGACAAGCAGAAAAAAATTACGAAGTACATTTTTGTTTTCCAACCATGCTTGATGTACACACTCTTGTACAAATCTTATACACACCATGTTTGTGAAGCTTTTTTTTTTGTTTGTGCAAAACATTGTCTATGAATCGATGTTCACAGACAAAAAAAAAGCTTTCACAGACATAGATGTGTACAAAAGTGTGTGTATAAGAATGTGTACAAACATCATTTTTGTTTTCTAAAATAAGCCGACGACGGCCTAGGGTTAGGTGTAGATTGAACAGTTTTGACAGGGGCTGACGATTGATCGGCGGCGGCCTTCCTTAATCGGCGAGGGGAGTTGAAAGGGGCTCTCGGTTAGCATTCTGGGTTAGACCTCTCTTCGGTCGATAGGCGAGTGTTAGTTGTTTTCGGCGGACGTTTTGTGCGAAGGAGTTTTTTTGGTCTGCGAGTAGGCTTTGCGTGTCAGTGCAATTTCGGCTTGGAGATGGCAGTAATGAATGCACAACAGGAGGTGATGAGGTTGGCACAAGAATACGGCAACATGGATGATGAAGATGAGACCATTTTGGTGAAAGGCATGGCTCCCAGTGCGGCGAATGGGAGTCAGCGCTTGTCGGGACCATCACATAGGAAAAGTCGGGTATGTCCGGCGGAAAAATAGTGTCCCCCCCAAATAGCAGATTGATGACGGGTGACAAGTTTGGTGAATCTAAGAGTTCGGTCGGTGATGAAGTATCAATTACAGCCGTCCAGATGGCCCGACCTCCTCCTGAACAAGTTGGAGTTTTGGCTGTTCGTGGAAGGCCTCAGTTAGAAGGGATCAAGAATAATGGAGCTTGGCAAGTAGTGGCCTGCTCTTTTAGTTTGCTTTTCATAATTTTATCTTCCAGTGTGTCTTTGATGTTGGATTCTTTGTCGTTTGTGTGTTACACTGCTGTGGTGGGTAGGTTTTTTATGCCAAGAAGTAAGAAGGCTTCAAAACCGGAGTTAATCTTCAAATCTCTCGCAAGGTTAGCGACTCGATCTGCTCAATCATGGTGGTCGTTTATATGTCTAATCAGAGGCTGGGGGACCTTCGGGTTATGGTGAGTCTAGTAGCAGGATGTTGTTTAGTATTGAAAAGTTTGCAATGTCGTTGGTTTCTAGAATTTTAATACAGACAATTTCCTTCCAAAAAAACCCAACAATGATATTAAAATTAATGCTCAATGACCATTGAATCATTTTAATATTTTACTATCTGTTTATTCGGTATGATTCAGTATTAAAATCGAACACCCCTATTATATATGCATGCACACGTAATATACCCGTATATAATGATAAAGAGACAAGTATACCTCTAAGATTCCATGACCAAAGCTGCTGTCCCTATAGGCACTAAACTCTGGCTGTTGGTCCCAACAGAACTTGCCGGCTGCTGGGCCAGAAGTGAAGTTATAGGCACAAAAACCGCCCATAAATACATCTGGAGTGCTCCTTGGGTTGGGACAGTTACCAGGTTCATCTGCATGTGAAATGGCCATTTTTTCTCTGTTTCCGCCATCCCCAATGGTTATGTAAACAGGTCCACAGGGATCTAAGCTGTAGTTGAACACTCTGTTTGACCTTTCATATGCATGAACCTGTATAAATCAGCTACTCCTCAATATCTCACTCTATATATTAGGGTGCAAAGCATTTTGTTAAATCAGACAACAAAAGTTTTATGCAAATCATAAAAGGTTCTCACTTTAAGTCAATTTTATTATTTTGTCTTTGGTCATTTAGTTAGTTTGTAGCCTTTAGTAACTCATTGAGTTCATCTTGGAGCTTTTTGCTTCAAATACTATTTTAGTAGAATTATTTTAGCTTACAAACATTTTAACATGAGATTTTAGTTTCATCTAGGAGGCTAGGACCCCAAAATCAATATCACAGGTTCAATTATTTCTAGTTTGATATGTTGCATTTATATTATATACTCAACAAGTTGTTTTCTACAACACATTACAAAGTATATGCCGACAAAATTGATTGCAATCAAAGTATTAAATGTAACCTTTATTTGTATAAATAATCAATGTTCCCTACATTGGCTAAATAGATAGATAAATGGAGGAGGAGGAGGCATTCAACATACTTATTAAGAAAGTAGTAATACGGAGTTATATTATACGGAGTATCAGTTATTACTTGTTACAATGGTTTGATTTTTCATTGTTCACATACTCTGTTCTGACTATATTATATTTACTATTTTGCTATAAGTGAGATAGTTTTTTTTACCTAAAAGGAAAGCAATAAAACCAACAGTTCTTATTGACGGGAAAAAAGAATTGACAGTGATTGTCCAAAAATGACAAAAAAACATTAGATATGTGATCAGTTAATTCACTTGAAATTTAGTGGCTTATCTCATATTCACGTATAACTTTAGTGTCTAATTTGACTTTCTGTCTTTCTCTTTTTATCTTGACGGGTGTGGGATAACTTAATATATCTCATGATATAGTGGATCATTGGAGTATGCCAATCTCAAAGTTGGTGGATCATCGGAGTATGCCAATCTCAAAGTTGGCGAGTCTTAACGAGTTTTGATCAATTGAATTGCTACTTCGAGCTTAGTTCGCTCTCATATTTTATTAAAACTTAATTCCTCCTAGAAGAATGTTCGGAGTAGCCCGAAGCGTTTAAATTTGTCTTTATATTTGACCGATATAGAACGACTTAAGGATACTTACATGTCCATTAAAGACTAAATCAACTCCAGCTTTGTACAACAATTCTTCCATTGCTACCCTCATGCATTCAGCTTCTCTATAATGTGCAGTGTAAGAAGAGTACCAAGGTGGATGCCACGTGGCAACAAGCCAAGGTGTAACCTTTCTGTCAACATTAGCCAGATCTCTCTCCAACCACCTGTATTGGTCATCTGAAACAGACAACATATATGTAATAAGCTATGTTAACTGGCCAAGATGTGAAAAAGGATTGTCTTCAAAATGATTGAGTACCTGTTTTACTATAAGCAACATAACCACCCAGCATTACAAAATGTATGCCTCCAGCATTGAAAGAATAGTACAATGGGGAAGAAGATCCACTTTCATGGGAAGGGAAGGCAAATCGAGAACTGTAAGCTGCAAATGTTTTGTTCTCGATCTGTTGTTCGATATCGTGATTTCCTTCCACTACCATGATTGGAACTTTGGACAACAATGGTTGCATATATCTACAGATAAGAGCCAGGTATGATAGGTGATTTTATATTGCATTAACTCCCTAATTATTTGAAAACATGTGTTGCTCACTTGCTGCTTCATATTGCAAAATGGTGGTTAAATATGGGAAAATATTGTAAGTAAGATTTTTTTTAGAGAATATTGTAAATAAGATTAATACATACTATGTGCCTCCAAGTAGAACTGTTGATTTTTCCTAAAATGTAGAACTCATTCACTTCTAAAAATATAATTGCTTAGTGAGGCTAAGGACTAGAAAAGGACTCTTCACTTATTTTAAAAAGGCTAAGGACTCTATTTAAAATAAAACAAAGATACTATTTGCAGCAAGTTCTTTTACATAAATCAGTACTCCCTGCCTTTTATGATGATAAAGACATTAGAATATGCATTTGCATATAGAGCTGTCAAACGGGCCAACCCGACCTGACCCGTGACGGGTTATGGTCTATGTGGGTTGGGTCGGGCTAACCCGTTTAATGACGGGCCAGAATTTCTACAATCCTAACCCAACCCACCTAACCTGTGGGTTAAACGGGTTGGCCCGCGGGCCAATATGTAAAAAAATATATAACAAAAAAAATTAAAAATAATTACCCGGAAGTATAAATTTATATTAGTAAGTAGTAACAAAGGAATTATAGAAAATCAAAATACTAAAAGTTCAATACTTGTTAAGTTTAATTAAAAAATAATAAATACTAGTTATACGAGAATTTGAAAACTATAAGAGGGTATGCGACAAAAATACTCATTGTACGTATAAAAATAAAGATCTACATAAACCTTTTGATTAATTATTTGTAAATAATGACTACTAATTGTTAAATATTGTATCTAACTTCACAAAAAATATGTTTCAACATTTTATTTGAATATTTATTATTGAAATATATATTGTTTTTGCCATGGTTGTAATTTTTTATTTGTAATTATAATAATATTGGTAGTAAAAGGATAATATTTAAGATAATAAAATTTAAAACTATATTTTTGTATATTGGCCCACGGGCCAACCCGCAACCCGGTGGGCCAACCCGCTTAAACCCACAACCCGCGTGGGTTGACCCGCGAAACCCGTGAACTAAATGGGTCAGAAATTTTCAACCCTAACCCACCAATAAATGGGTTTAAACGGGTCAGCCCGCGGGTTTCGGCCCATTTTGACGGCTCTATTTGCATAGCCCCTTATCATCCAGTGCAATTTGCACTAAGGGAAAAAACCAGTACTTGTTTTGGCATTATTCCTAAACTATTTTCTTTGCAAAATAGTCCTATAAAAATGTCCCCCCATTTAGTATCCAACAATGTTGTTGATAAGTTCTGAGGTTTCTTATGGGATGCCACCTCAACGCGCCATTTGGATATTAAAAACACCAGCTTGGCTCATTGAACGGACCAACTAGTAGAACCAGGTTTGAATAACATGCCAAACTGAGCCACATTTTGTATTTGGGGTGGCCGATCAATCGGTTTGATTAACCAGCCCGATCCACTTTCATTTGTGGCAAGGTGCAGATGTGGCATTTTGGCAGGCAACTTAGCACTTAACAAGAAAAAAATAACCACATAGTCCAACAAAAAAACATCATTAATGTGGCTAAAAACATAATTAAGACTAGAAAAAAATAAGGATATGATAACTTCACCTCCCCCAATAATCCCAACGTGGCTGGTATGTCTCATGTATGGGAGTATTTGGAAAAGAGCAAGTGTAGCAATCTGAGCCAGTTCCATTTGTGAGATACAAGTTAGCATAGCTCACGTCTCCAACCAATATGACAAGATCGGCATTATTTCTCATTAAATGGTTGATGGTTGAAGTGGTATTATACGTTAGCCCGAGGTCTCCCACAATGGCAACCTTATTCGGATAGCTCTCGGGACTAGAAACTGGCATGGTCTTGAAATGATAGACCTCGCTCATCGCCGTTAAGGGATCCCCGCACTGATAGTAGTATAAAGTGTCTGGTTCTAGTTCTGAAGCAGAACAGATAAACATATAAGACATTGGACTACTCCCCTTGTCATATTAATGGAACCTAAAGTCTTAATAACCAATAAGAGAGAGGAATAGGTACCTGTGAGTTGGACATGGTGTATAATTCCAGAGGTATAGTTCCTAAGGCCAATAAAAGGATAGAGTTGGCTGTAAATGAGGGATTGACCTGTTGCCGTCTGATCCAATGTGGAATTTACTTTTCCATATTGAACAACACTGGCAACAGTACTTGGATCGTATGGTATGATGTTTTCACCAATTTGGTATTCTCCTGTAGACATATGTTTCAACACTTGTTCATTATAAACTGGTTGATTAGCTTAATAAGCCAAAAAAACTAAGTCACTGAACAGGCTCTAAATAAATTTTTGTTCATTATTTGGTAAAATAAATCTTTTCAATTCACTCTATTATCTTTAGTAAACAATGGTTGTGCAGCTCTACAACAGTTTGCGTGAATTAAAGTACGTAGTAATGTTTATTCCCAGTAAACATGGCTTTTCTGGAAGTCGGGTAGGAAAAAAGTGTTTTTCTAAAAACCCTTGAAGGTTATATTATGACTTTTAGGGTGTGTTTGGGAGTTGAGTTTTGGAGGGGAAGGAAGGTTAATGGGGGTTTATGACCTTTTTCATGTTTGGGAGTTTAAAAATTGGAGGGGATGATTTTGGATGGTTTTTGTATCCCTTCAAAACCCTCCAAATGCTTAATTTTTCAGTTCCCCCAATTTGGAGGGTTTTGGAGGATAATTAACAAGATTGTAATTTAAGCTTAAATTAAAAATGAATATCAGCTCAATGATTTGAATTCGTCATATCTGATGGTGATTTTAATTATAATTCTTTCAAAAACCCTCTTCTCCCAATTTTATTACTCCCAAATACAAGGAAGGGCTTCCTCACCCTCCTCTCCCTTTCCCCTCCAACAACATACCTCCAAAGCCTTCCCCTCCCCTTCCCTTCGAACTCCTAAACATACCCTTAAGGGATAGGAGTAATACATAATCAGTCTATTTATATAAAATGATATATATGACTAAAATAAAGATAGTGGAGAAAATGTGAATTTAACTTGAATATGAAGTTGTAACCCCAAGGAATCATGATCATGTTAAATTTTGCACTGTTTTAACCATGATCTTATTCACATAGTATTTGGCCACATTTTTATCTAAACGTTTTATTGAAGTAATATTTTTGAAACAACTCCTTAAATTAGTTATCAAAATTTTTATGGTTTGAAAAACAAAAATGCTACATGTACACGCTCGTTGACACATCAAGTGTATTTTGTTTGTGCACAGACAATTGATTGTCATTTCAGTGAACAAAACTGTCCGTGAACAAAAAAAATTGAATTGTCTGTGCAGAAAAACAGTTCTCTTTATTAAAGTGAAAAACAATTGTCTGTGCACGCTTATCAGGCTTATCGGTCAGTTTTTTCACCAAACACGTAACTTTTGATTTCACGCGCTGAAGTTTGTAATAAGCAGAAAAAGTAAGGTCGAAGTTACTTTTCTGGCTGTATTGGTTGAAATTACTGTAGAGAATCATTTTAGCTATGTTTTCATATATATTTTTATTTAATTTATTAATAAAAAATATTTTAAATATAATTTTTTCATGATCAACAGAATCAACCAATACAACTACTTCAGCCAGAACTTCATAAATTTCAGCAGAATTAGCCAATTCAGCCAAATTTAGTGTTACCAAACGGGCTCTTAGTGTGTAAATGAACGTGTAAGCTGGAGTTTACAGATATCATTTTTGTTTAAAAAACGACCACATTGTCCGAACATGTTAGACATTTTCTTTTGGGAATGGTTTTGCGCGTAAGGTACTATTTTAGGTAAAACGCTCATGTAGAAATTATTATGGAGTATTTATTTTAAGATCAAGATACACCCCTACACTCATTTGGTAGATAAAGTGTGTGTTTGATAATCAGTTGTTGGCTGTTAGCTGATAGGCGATTATATTTATTATTTGATATCGGCGAATTTTGTTAGTTGTTTTGATCAGCCTCTATCATCATCAGATCAAAATAAAATGTTTAGTAACTTAGTTGGTCACAATTACTTTTCAATGCGCATAATGACTATCAAGAATACACATACAAAATATACATGAATTTAAATTAACCTTTTATTTTATGATAAATGCATTAACCATTATTTTATACTCCCTTCGTCTCGAAATTAACTTTTCATTTTCCTTTTCACGCAGTCCCGAAATTAACTTCCCGCTTCCTTATTTGCAAACTATCTACATCAAAACCGTGCAAAACAGTGCGAAACGGTGTCGAAACAATGTCAAAACAGTAAAATTTACCCTCTAGTAAATTTATTTCCTAAATATGTGTGAAATCTAAGTGGGAAGTTAATTCTAGGACGGAGGGAGTATAATTAATATTATTACTCCCTTCGTTCCATTTTACATGTCCTACATTCCTTTTTTGTTGTCCCAAAATAAGTTGTCTTCTTTCCTTTTTGAAAAGAAATATGTGATCTACACCATTTCACTTTATAATACTCAAATCTCAACCACAACTTTTACTTATTCAACAACACTTTATAATAATCATGTCACGTCAAAGTGAGACATATAAAATGGGACAGAGGTAATATTATTTTTAATATACATACACACACAAATTCTAAAGTAGTATGTGGTGTTATTTTAACTATAATATATACCCAAATTCATGTGTTTTTAGTACTAATATTTTAAATATGATTATTATTAAATATGTGGTTTTAAAATAATATTATAAAATAGGAGTTACATTCATGATGATATCTATCACTAGTGTTATTAAGTTTTCGTAACTATTTTTCATTTTATTGCATTTTTTGAATTATTATAAAATAATTAACCAGGGGGCTAAATGGGAGCATATATTAGAATTTTAAATAATAATATCAAAATGTTGTTGTAAAGCTACTCGCAGTGGCTTTTTCGTTTTTGGCTTTTTCGTAGCAAATAGCCGAATCAAAAAGTTTTTTACCAAACACCTATTTTATCCGTTTGACAAAGTCAAACAACCAAAATCACTCCAAAAGGTAAAAAAGGCTGATATACCCCCATAAATCAAACACCCCCAAAACAAGGAAATTAAATTTGTTCACCCTCTCAAAAGAGGGTGATGTTCACCCTCTCAAAAGAGGATGCTGTTCACCCTCCGCCCTAATTGCTTTTGATGTGGCAAGGCAATTGTTAACTACTTAGTATTTGGTAATTATTTAACTTTTTCATTTTTAATCCATTTTTTAAAAAAAATTATCAATTTTTTGATTTTTTTAAGGTACCAATATTGCATATAAAAAATTAATATAAAAATCCAGCTAGAAATGAATATTTATAAAAAATGATTTCTAAGAGGATTTCTACATTTTATATATCTTGTTTTGGGTTATCTTTTTTTTTTGTTTTTTACTCCCTTCATCCCTAAATTATCTTCCAATGTACATTTGACACGAGAATTAAGATAGTGGGTATTATGTGTGGTGGAGAGTTGTGTAGTTGAGAGAGAAATGTGTAAGAATGTGTAACAAATGTTGTGAACCACAAATTCTTTGTCAAAAAAGAAAATGAAAGATTATTTTGGGATAGACGAAAAAAAAAATTTGGATGCTAGTTCAGGGGCGAATGAAGTAATAAAGTGATTGAAAAGTAAAAATTATAATTAAAATTTGAATATAATAAAGTGAAATGTTGTGACCTACATATTTCTTTTCAAAAAATAAAATGCAAAATGGGGAGAAGTATATAACGTTAAAGTTCAATAGGGCCCTTGCCTCTATCATCATTCATCACAACTCACAAGTGGGGCTATTGGTGTATAGATAACAAGTTAAGTTGGCATGCAATTTAACAAACTCAATAAATGAAAGGAATGGCCACATATGTATACCTGTGATCCAAGAAATCCAAACTGAATGATAATTGAAGGAGAGGGAAACAGAGATCTGCTCAGGCTCCCAACATTCTGTGGCAGTCCTCTGAACTCTGGGGTCACTGTCCGGCAAATCAATGGCATGCCCCCTATACGTCTGATCCAAGGGCACAGTTACTGGCTTGAAAGGCCCTTCTGTGGTGCTTTGAATTCCGCCAGCTGCCCTCAAGACGGCCAAGCAGAGGACCCCAACCACCAAAGCTGCTGCTGATATGGTTATTGAATGCATACTTACCCGAAACTAATAAATTAAGTTGTACTACATAAGTACATATACAATTGAATAGAGAACAAAAAGGGTAGAAAAGAAGGTGGGTGAATTGCCCTCTGAGAGAAGGGTAGGGTCCTCTGCATTGCATGCTCTTTTATCTTTTTCTTGTTTTTATATTTGAGAGGGATAAAGAGAAAAAGAGAGGCCATCTTGCCGTGCTGTTAGGTCAACAAGTTGCGTGGAAGGTAAAGCTCGTTTTTGACTTCTACTTTCCTCGCACGAAACCATTAAAGAGCTAGCTGGGGTTGTTCTGTTTAATGTGCCTCCTTTTGGCTCTCATGCTATGAGTTAGCACAGATATGGTAGCCAACCAGACCCCACCTAATGGTTATGGGGCTGATGGGCTTAGGTGATTGGTACTGGAGGCCACTTAAGCGCCAGAGGACTATGGTGGGCATATCGGTTGGTTTAATCTAACAGAATCAAAATGTGATGATATGCAATTTGGTTTGAGTTTGGTAGTATTTCTTTTAAATCGTATTAAATCAAAAGAAACTGAAATCGATAGCACCGAACAAAATCGAATTGAACTGAACTAAAGAAATCTAGAAAAAACGATAGTATATTATTAAAAAATCACAAATCTATGCTGAACCAAACCAAACCAAAGAATAGTGTGGTTTTTTACTCTTGTTTTGGTAATAGTTCCTCCAACCCGTTCCAAAACCTAACCGAACAAGAAGTGATAAAAATTGAATCGAAAATCAATATACGTCAGACTATTATTGATTTTGTAACCAAACCCCATGAAATAAAGCAATCAAGCTTCTTTTGCTTAGGGGGCGTTTGGATCTACTTCTTAAAACTGTTTATGTTCCTGCAGGAAGCAGAAGTGGATATTGGAGTGTTTGGGTGAAATTGCAGAAGTACTTCTGAGAGCTCTAAAATGCTCCTAGAAGCACTCTATTAGAAGTTGTGAGAGATTAGCTTCTGAAACTGATTCTGGTTCTGGTTGTGCTCTTTAAAAGAAGCAGAAGCAGAATCACCTTCAAACACCGCTTTATTTGTATCGGTAGCTTTTCACGAAAAAAGTTGTTCTGCGGGTAAAAAAAGCTTCAATTTCTTTATTTCAATGAATAGAACGTTATGTTTGTAAGTTTTTTCGGTCTGGTTGTAGACTCACTAAACATGCACCTTCTAGTATCAAATATATCAAATACTTGATCATAACAAAAAATAAATATCCTTAGTTTTACTTCTTGATCCTTTGTCACTACATTACCTACATACTCGGTAAATATTACGTAGTAATAAAATATGTGTATGGGTTTGTAAAAATAATTGGTTTTGGTATTTTAAGTCTGGTTTGGGATTGAAAACAGTCCAAATAAAAATATCCTAAAGACTCAAATGAATGCTCAAAATAGGATGTTTTTATTTGGACTGTTTTCAGTCCCAGACCAGACTTAAACATATCAGACCAGACCAGATCAGACTTCTGTAGTTATAAAATACACAGAGACAAGACATTTACCATATCAGATCAGACTTAAACATATCAGAGCAAATCAGATCAACAAATTTCAATCCAAATAAAAACATCTTTAAAATTATCATTTTATATATTGGGCCAAATAGGTTCGGCCGAACAAGTGGCTCAGCCCACATTTTACTATCTATGATCCCTGTGGGCGTCGTGTACTCTGAGAAATAATCTTAAGCTCATTGATACATTTAACCTATTTCTCTATATCTTACCTCTCTCTAGAAATGTGTGTGAATGTGTGTATAGCTACTCTACCAATTACTTTTTGAAAATATGGAATTTAGTTTACTATGTCAATAATTGTTTACTATTCTACGATAAGGATGTTTTTACTCGAACTGAAATTTTATGGTCTCATCTGGTCTGAACTGATCTGCTCTGATCTGGTAAATGTTTGGTCGCTGTGTATGTTATAGTTGTTCAAGTTTGGTATGCTTTGATCTAGTATGATATGGTCTGGTTTGGAACTGAAAATCGTCAAAGTAAAAAAATCCTTAGTAAGATTGTAAGAATCTATATAGAATTCCATCTTTTTTACTAGTCCGAGTATTATGAATGACAATATTTCTTTTTTCACGCTTCCAACTAAATTAAAAACAAAAGGTTGAGACCCCATCCCTGAAAGCCCCCAACCTCGATCGGACGGTACGTGTGACATATGTAAATTGGACTATAATCTCAATCTGACAGATAGAGAGTAGAGCTCTGTCTCTTCCCCCTAAATTAATTATCGATCCCGGTGTCTTTGAAATTCATTCATGCTTTACGAGTGCAATATCAATAGATCGATCACTACACCCCCACATCTACGTTCATGTTGTTTCCGTTCATGAATATAAAAAACTAAATTGAAGAATAACTAATTGAACCCTTATGTATGTTGTTTACTACGTAGTATTATATTTTTTTTGTTGCATCATGTTGCATTTTGTTTCAGCATGTTTCACTTTGTTGCATCATGTTTCATTTTGTTGCACCATAATATCCTCCATTCCGTTTTAATCCCAACATGTTGAATTTTACACTATTCACATGCTCTACTTTGACTAAATTTGACGCTATTATTTTATAAAAATTATTATTTTTTTAAAAATATTGTTCAATTCATCACAATACAAATTTTCAAAATCTGATTTTAAATACTTCGTATATTTTTCACTAATAGAATTAAGATATAATTACGGTCAAAGACATGCGTTGGCAAATGTGAAATGTTGACCGTTGCAACTAAAAAAGAACAGAGGGAGTATATATCACTTTGTTGCATCGTTTTTTGTTGTTACTTATTGTCATTTTTTGTTTATTTAGATTCCAATTTATTTTTTCTACTTTGGAATTAAAACCAACACACACGTATAAACACCTATAATAATATACAACCGCAACAAGAAACACAAATAAACAATTAAAAACAAAATTTACAAATTTTTAAACAAAAGAAACACAAAGAAACCACATGCAACAAAATTGGTATGATGATAATATTAATTTTCTAAACATTAAAAAAGACACTAAAATAAAAGACTCCCATTTTGTATTTTTTACTATATTTATCATTTTTTACGTATTTTCTACATTTATATTTTAAATATCATTATTTTCTGTAATGTTTAATTTTTTGAATAATATTTATTTATTCTAAGAATTTTCATTATATTTTTTCAATTTTTATACATTTTCACTCTTTTCAAAAAATATATTTTTATAGTTTTTATATTTTCAATCTTTTTTATTTTAGTTATATTTTGTTTACAATTTTTTTAGAATTTTGTATTATTTAAATTTGCAAATTACGGAGTATTACCCTTTTTCCTTTCAAAACAAATTATTAATCCTTTTAGTTTTACTGTTTTTATTTTCAGGTTTACATTTTTCAAAACTTAACAAAGTTATTATTATAATTTTTTAATTTTGTATGTTTTTATGCTTGTTTACCTTTACCGATTTAAATTGTTTTCAAAATGTTTGGAGTATAATTTTCCAATTATTTGCAATATATAGATTCTTTTTACATTTTATAGCATGTACAGTCTACACACTTAAGTTTTCACTTGCAGTAGCGTATAAAATTAAAGTTTGTAAAAGTTTAAAATTAAGATTTAAAATGTTAGAGTAATGATTTAGAGAGTAATGATAAAGAGTGCGTCCTGCCGTCCTGTTCTATAGTTAGAGTAGAGTGTGTTTTTGGCTCAAGGTCTATTATTGAAAGTAAAACTTAACTAGCCTATTTTTGAAAACAACTTTCAAAGTTGAAAAAAGCGATATTATTTTCATTTTGTAGTATATTTGTGAAAATTTCCCGTGTTTAATTAGGTTATTTGGTATAAAGGCCTAATTGATTATTATTTAGAGATATTACAAATGTCTAATTTGTAGGCTTTCTATTATTCTATAAAAGGATAACCTTTGGGAAAAGGGTCAGATATGGTCTCGAACTTACAAAAAAATATCAAATAAGGCATTATATAGGAGGTTCTGTCCGGCCGACGCCATTTGGTGTGGCTCCCGGTGGAATTGTTCAATGAAACTTTTTGAGCATCTTATTCATTAAATCTAGTTTACAAATACCAATTTTCACCTAAAACTTCAATCGGGAAGGCATTCAGATAAATTCTTGAAGATAAGTGCGTAGTTAAAAGCGTAGTTATCTTCAAGAATTTATTTGAATCCCTTCCCGATTGAAGTTTTAGCTAAAATTTGGTATGAGTAAACTAGATTAATGAATAAGATGCTCACAAAAGTTTATCGAATAATTCCACCGGGAACCGCCTCAAATGGCATCGGCCGAACAGAACCTCTTATATAAAGTCTTATTTGACATTTTTTTGTAAATTCGATGCCTTATCTGACCCTTTTCTCGGTGACCTTTCATTCCTTTAAAAAAAAACCTTTCATTTAGAAGTGGGGAATTTTATAAACATAAAAGTTTTAATAAAACGTGGAATTTATTTTGGGATACAACTAAATTAAGTAGTCAAAGTTTGTTAGGAATGTTGAAAACAAACTATTCATAACGGTTTTCATGTTACCTACCAATAAATTCATACTAGTATAATTTTTGAAATTTTGATCTTTAAAATTAATGGACTTTGACTCCAGAATTCAACGTGCAAAATGTTTTAGTGCATGATGACTATTAGATTATTGTCAATTTCTGGTTTAAATTATCCATTAAGTTGTATAAAAATTTCACACGCAACTAAATGTCATATATTGGCTTTCAAATGACACTGAATTATCTTTACTTATGCATATTAATAAACAAATCATGAATAATAATATTTGAGTAGAATATGAATAATGCATAATTTCCACGGCACTAGAGGTGTAATGACATTACTTATAGGAAATTATCACTCACCTCCTTGAGGTTTCACACATTATCACCTAGATCCCTGCAC